TCAGACGTATAAAGTGAGTGAAGTAGAAAAAGAAAGAAGGAAACCTACAGAGTTTGTTAGTCAATAATGAAATAGCTACTGATTGTTGATGTTATTACTAATTATGTTAATGAGATTTAAAAGGCAATCCAAATAATCATGTGATATTGAAATTAGCATGTGAGTTAGTTAATTAAAATGAGATTAAAATAGAGAAATGGGAGAAAACTGAAAGAATTTGTGGTTCTAACTTGGATAATATTGATAAATAGAAAACGTGGACATGATGGGGACATATTATAAGTGGTTGGAAGTAGAGAAAAGAAAATTGATAGAGAGAGTTGTTAGAGAGAAAGAAGGAAAGAGAGAAAGAGAGATGAGAGCATTAGAGGGATACTGCGAACGAAGAGATAGGAGATTTCAAAAAAAGCTAACACATAGAAAGGTGAAGAGGTATGTTTCAAGCGAGATACTAAATGTTTTTGAGAGCGAAATGCCAGCAACTTCAACCGGTTTCTTTGATTCAAACTGTTTAAGGCAAAATGCGGTTTATACAAAGATATAATCGGGTTTGTTGGTTATCGAATATAGAAATTATTTTTTGTTCTTTTCAAGAACATTTAAGAGAGACATTTCGGGGTTCAGAGCCTTTTGAAAATAAATAAAGCTAAACAAAAGAACCACCAAATGGAAAATTGTCTCATCTTGTTTTCTCTATTCCCATAAGAAGATTTTGAAAATAAGAAAAACTACCTGATTAAAGATAATTGGCGTAAAGCGATCAAAGAATATTCAAAAAACTGATAACTAGATGGTGATTTATGCAAATTAATTACGTGAAGTCACGTGAAATTGCACGCGCAAATTCATTTATAGATGAAGAACGTATAAATACGGTTGGTTGCAAAACTCAAATAATCTTTTATTACTTTCTCTCTGTTTGAATGACTTTTGAAATAAGCATAATGAGCATTATTAACTATATGTTTTATAGTTAGGATATTAGAAAGGGAAAGAGACGGAAGGTTAGAGAAAGGTTTTCTTCAAATTCATATTTGAGACGACAGTAGCATTTCTAAAATTGAAACTTAAAAGAATCGAATGAACAATTCTATTATCTTCATAATCATAATCTAGCAAAGAGAAAAACAGACAAAAAAGGAGAAAAAAAGATAGGGAAAGAGGGGGAGGTGAAGTATGTTCACAGAGCCAAGTCGAAGATAATTGAGAACGAAGTAAAATAATAAGATGGAACAGGAATATTAAATACTAACTGAATTCATAATGATGAAGAATCATATAACTTTTTACGTCTGATGTGTGCTCATGGTTGGTGTCGTTTGATGAAAAGTTACTGCAACTGACTCAAACAGCCCATATTCACAGCTTCAGACGATATGTAATTAAGCATTATAATAACAATGTGAGAGAAACAGAACAAGAAAGCTATGCTTAGTGGAAGTGAAGAAGCTTCTTCAATGATCCTTAAAAGGTGCTTTTGTTGATAAGAGAAATCAACAGAAAAGCATTTTTTTTCCAATCGGTTTGAAGCTTTCCATTCACTTTCCGAAGAAAATGTCTATAAGTTTTTGTGAGCCGTTCTCTAAGCAGTTCTTCAAAATGGAGTAAAACATGAAGAAATACTTTAAAAACGAGAATGAGAGCGGATAAGCCAGATGAGAATGTCTAAAGAGAGATATAGAGAGGAGAAGCAATGAGATAGGAGGCAGAAAAGACATGGAAAAGAAGGAAATCTTTCTTCTCTCCTTTTCTGCAAGTAAGAAATCAGTTAACAATATTAAAAGCTGTTCATAGATATGAGTTGGATAAATAATTCTTTTTTTTTCCGACAGATGGTTGCTTACACGAAACTTTCTTAGCTTACACATGGCTTTGAAGCAATGACATAAACGACAAAAATCCAAAAAAGGCAAGAAAAGCGATAGAAAATGTGCATGTCCGGCTTGTGGCCGTCGAGCGAGGTCCTTCTCAGCTCTGTTGAGCTATTTCCCACGAAATTCCTCTTCTTCTCTCAACCATGCTTTTGCTCTCCTCTTATGGCGACATGAATAGCAAAAGTGGTGTCTTTGCTGCTGCCGTTTTGAGACTTTTTTTCTCCGATATTTCCTTTATCTCTCCATTTCTTTCTATCTTTTTTTTTCCTATTTTATCGAATGTAATGCTTTGTCTATCTATGGCTTCTCTACTTGCAACATAAGCAGAGTGAGATGTCTTTCCAAAGAGAAAACGACGCTTGGACGGGATCTGAGAAAACGATGTGATGCTGATAATGAATATATCAACAACAACAACAAAAATAAGAAACAAAAAATATGAAGAGCATCAATTGAGCCTTTTCAACTCATTCCACTCTTTCACTTCTATAAAACCTCTTTTTTTCCCAAGTACCTCATCTCTGTTAGAACAAATCAATGTTTCTCACTAAACGACATATTTTTGAAACTTTTTGAAAGAATTCACAGCAAAATCTGGAAGCAAAGACATTTCAATGATCCAGACAACACAAATAAACTGCGACACGAGTGGATAAGGAGCGAATTGATGACATAAGCAACATTCTCGTTTTCATTTGTTGAGGAAAAGTTGTTGAAATCAAATACATCGATTGATACATTCACATTTTTTTTAATTATGAGGGATAGGGGTAGAAGGAGAGAAAAAGACATTTTGAAAGAAAAAAATAAATTGAGGGCGAAGTATAAGAGAAAGTGAGGGGGAAAGAGGAAGCTTAAGAGGAACAAAGAGAGAACGTTTAAACGATTATGAGGGACAGAAAGCGAGAAAGTGGGAGAAGAAGAGAAAAGAAACAAGAAAACGAAAAGAATGCTTTTGAAATTTCAATAGAGAAACAACCTGAAGCAGGAAGGGACGTTTCGGTTAGAATTAACGATATAAGAAGGTTTCTTATAAAGGAGAAGCTTCATTTCGCCGATATTGCTTCTTATACACTCACCGAATTTAAGCAAAACTCATCAACTCGTGATTTATAAATCGTGTGTAGTTTGCTCAATTCTTTCCCCTCTCATTCTCTTTTCATTCTTCAAGAGATGATAGTGAGAGCGTGAAAGGCAAAAGCACAGTGAGAACGAATGGTTGAGATTAAAGTCATGTAACATATATAAATTAGCATAACTAATTAAAAAGATATTTAAAGCTTCAAAAAAGATTCCCAATTACGGCTCAGAGACACCTCTCTGTGAGTAACGAATTCTCTTGATATTTCCCTATTTAAGCTCATTATATTCTTTGTTCTGCTTCCAAAGACCACTGATTATCTGTTAACCTGTGTTAACAGGGAGAACCATTCACTTATGAGTTTCTTGAAAATGCTTTTTGTTTAACTCGTGTTTTTTAACTTAACAAAAACAAAAGGAACAACTAATCAATACATCCATCCTCTACACACAAAATGAAATTTGCTAATTAAGCATGAAATTTGAGTATTTCCGCTTGAAGTACCTTTCCTCCATATTGGGAAAGATGAATAAAAAGATTTTTCCTAGTTTTCTTGAAGAAATTCTTCCCATGACGTAATTCGAAACAAAAATACGTTATTTCAGAAGAAAAAAAAAGAAATGAAAGAGACGAATATTGAATTATGTGCTCGGCTCGTCTTCTTCTCTAAATTAACTAATATTTCTAAAGAATTTTAATCTTTCTTCTCCCTAACACAATTGTCGAGTTACATTGTAGTAATCTATGTGCAATTAACTGAATAACATATTGAGAGCAATTACATGATTATGAGACAGAAAAAGCATGTTCTTCTCACTTCATAGGTTGATCATCTTCTTCTCTTATTGAATCTTATTTGATCATCTCCATCAATAACAGTTATCGAGCAATCAATCAAAAGCATTTGAATGAACAAAAGAAAACAAATGAATACAGAAAAAAAAGTTTTTTTTTCATTCTATCGAAACCGATGGAGGAACTTCTCGTTGACAAAACTTTCAAAACGATTGAACAAACAGTTCCGACTGTTTAAATAAAACTTCCCGATATGCGTGAGTTTTACGTGAAATTGCTACATATTCTCTTGAACAAACAGAAATACTTGTGTTTATTATTTCATACTGTTTTTTGTTTTGTATAGAACAATGTGCCTTCAATCTCTCGAAACACCCACCGCTCACTGATGCTGAAAAAAGCTAAATGAAATGCGAGATGCTTTCATTCCGAGCAAACAGTCGCATGGCGGTGGTGAGGATGGCTTTGTGAAGTTGTATGAGGTCAGGATTAGAGCCACTTACTTTGAAAAAACTTTTAGAAGCCTTATTATTCCGTTAAGATAATGTTCCATTCATGAGCTACTTTACTTTTCCTCTTCTGGATGAACTTACCGTAATAGTACTAATCAGAAATACTTTCAGAACAAAGACATCATTTCTTATTCAGCTATTGATCGGAAACAGAGTGTAGAACTGGTCTCTTTAAGCTCCAACGATCCTACAGAAGTTAGGTTATTGAAAGCGTGTCGTTCAGTATTAGAATTGTTCAACTATCTCAATAACACCTCAAACGATATTCCGAGATTTCTTATTTCTCCTTTCTTGCTATATCAATGGAGAACACAGATTGCTCATGCTTTTTTAACGTGATTGGTTGATATGCAGGCTATTTCTGATTGGTTAGAAAGTTCTAACAAGATAGTAAAGATACATATGTATAAACGGCTGTATAACGTCAGATAGAGGTGTGAGCTAATTAGCCTCTCCACAACCATGTCTCCGCCAAGAAAAGCTCATTAGCAGCTGCAAACGATGGGAATAGAAGCAATCCGTTGGCTAATTTCCACTGCTTCGAACGTTTGTGTCCCAATGCCCATTTCAAAAGATGTTTCGTTATATGAAATCGAACGAAGTACTTGAGAACATCATTTGGTTTTTTTCTCTAGGAGACATAAGAATACTTTCTAGCTTGAGAGAAGAAGAAAACAATAAGCTCTGTGTTTTTATTTTTCAATTCTGCTATATCATTCCAATTCACAAAAAGGTTTATCAAAGCTCCGCATGTTTCTTGGCGGTTTCGGCGTCGTCGAATAGAGATTGCATGATATACTGTAGCTTTTTATCTGAAATCAAGAATAAGCAAATAATTTTTCAGTAAAAGTTACTTGTGAATATGCCCATATCAGTTAGTATTGGGAATGTTTGCACTATCGCATCTTTGTCTCGACTATCCAAGGCTCGAAATCGTTTCTCCTGTAAACTTAATAGGTTAACCAGTAATTTGTGAAGGAAACAACTTCAGTAGATGCCAAGTCATCCAATCGTAAGCTCTTAGCTTGGACAGCTCGTAAATGCAGCTTTCTCAAAGAGTTTATTGTCTGAATTTTACTTATATTATCTAAAGAAAAGAGAAGAAGTAATTACATCTTTCACGAACATCTTTGGCTTCTCATCCAGTTTTGATATTTTCGACGCAAAAGTTTTGATTATAGAAGTAGCCATATCGGTTAATCTCGGATTTTCTGTGAAAACTAAATATACATTTGAACGGAACAAGCTTACCAATGAGGATAGCTGTGAAAAAATCTTCACGGTGAGCGAGATCATATAAGATAACCTTAAGAGCAATGTTGAGAGGTAGAAGAAGAAGTTTACCTTGTCTTTGTCCGTTAAAGATCCAATGGCTTCTAATATCTCTGGAGAAACAGCTGCTAGAATGAAAAGAAATTGAAACTACATCATATTCCATGATGAACCTTTCATTTTTTGAAGTTCATTATCATCTAGTTGGTCTTTCAATGAGTAAACGTATGATATAAGTGTTATGAAAAGCAAGTTCTTCATAGCGGAAAATGGAACTACTTGTTTCATTTGAACCAGAGATAAACTGAAAGAGAATGAAAGAAATGAGAGTCAGTTGTTCAAACGGTCTCCAAGCAACAATTAGCTTTTAGAGACAAGCTGCAATGGAAATCGAAAATGCATGAGCCCTCTTCTTACTCACTCGCAATCGTATTTCTCTAGCCTCTCTTAATAATCACACACTCTCTTATAATCTTATTCATCTCTACACACATAAGCGTATACTCCTATACGTATAAATAAAGCTTTGTTCAAATCAATTACTATATAATCTGGCATGTGTGTCTAGCACTAAGGAAAGTGACTATAAAGGCATGGGTACTACCCTCCTTTTCTCTTCATACAAACTATTTTTCACCTGCTATTCGATGTTATGGGAACTGTGTGTTTTAGTAGCGTACACAAAGTTTTTAACACCTAGTGATGGGAACTGTTTCTTCTCATCATTTCTTCATTCTTACAGTGCTACCTTGTTCTTAACACCCTGCCATTCTTCGTTATTTCGAAGAACCGTTCAGGTTATACAAAGATCTCTGTACAAGCAACCTTCCTTCCTTATCATATCTTTGATCATTTCAATCAAAATGCTTTTACATATGTTGGGTACTTCGTAACACTTCTGAAATTGGTATAGCACTTCCGTTGCCCACTGTTGATCAAATATATATCTTAAAAACAAGTTCTTTTTTTTTGTGAACTTCCATTTTGACAAAATGTGTTACCCTATTGGGTAGAACGAGAAGATTAAGAGAATACCATTTTATAGATCAAAGCTCGCAGACACACTCTACTGAACGATATTTTGTAGAAATAAACTTGTGTTCAGCAAAATTGAGCACATCAAGTTACTCATTCGCCACGGTTACCTTTGAATAACATCTTCATGAACTCAATTTCTATACATTTTTGGAAACAAACTGGATTCGTTAGAGTGTTTTCGTCTGTTCTGTTTAACTTTGCTGCTATCACCGTGTAACAAATTGAAACACATTCTCACAAAACATACAATTTACATAAAACTGATTAGAAATTGCTAAGCAACACAAAATCACATGAAAACAGAAAAGCAGTCTCCATCTCTGATCCATTTTTTGTTATTCTCTCTCGGTTAGTTACTCTTCGCCTGCGTTTCTATTCTCATCCTCTCTCGTGTTTAATACGAACGTTCTCGATGCTATTCGGTTCCATTCCTCTCTTATCCACCTTATCATTCATCAAACTGAGATCAAATAATGGAAAAGTGATACGATTTTGTCATCATTTTGTATTTTAGTTGTATAAATAGAGAGCGCTCATTCTACTGACAAGCATTGCTTAAGTCTCTGTGTATTTATAGCTTTTATTCAGGTGGTTTCGCTTACTCGTGAGCTACCTTTCGTTCTTTTCCCATTTTGTGACAGAAAACAAAAGATTTTCAGTAAAGCTTTGTATATTTTATTGTGAAATTCATAATCCCAACAACTACTAGTTTCTCTCCTGTCCTCAACCTTTGCTATAAAACCTTTCGTACAATCACTCGAAACACCATCACAGAAATTTCAGTTGATACAAAATGGTTGTCTATAAACTAACTTACTTCTCCATTCGTGGATTAGCTGAGTATATTCGTCAGGTAATCCATATACCATCCCCATGAGTCAAAAATTTTGTTAAGCTTTTCCATTTGGCTGAAGTTCCATTCGAGGATCACCGTGTTACTCCGGAGGAATTCGCCGAGATGAAGAAAAGTGCGAAAAATATATTGAACATAGATCAGCTCTATATTTAGCTTTGCCCTTCGAGCAACTTCCAATTTTGGAAGTGGATGGAAGAGTGATTTCTCAATCTATCACCATTCTTCGTTATCTGGCTAAACAATTCGGATACTACGGAAAATCGGATTATGAACAAGCTATCGTCGATAGTCTTGCCGATCAATACAAGGATTTCAGCAGTGAGAATAAGAAATACTTCTACTCAGTTAGAGGATATCTACCTGCAACTCCTGAAGAAATTGTGAGATTCATTCCTCCCTACAACATTACAATTTCCTTTATCTGCAGGAGAAACTGAAACAGGAGGTTTACTTGCCTTCTCGGGAAAAGTACCTTCGATTCTTGTCGAACTTCTTGAAGAAAAGCTCTACTGGTTTATCACAACAATCACGATCATGTCTCATCGTTGTCCTTTAAGGTTTTCTGGCTGGTGGAGATGTAACGTATATCGATCTGGTTATTGCTGAACAAGTAGCTACGATGCGAGAACACTGGTCCGATTTCAGTGACGGATATCCAGAGGTGAGAAACACTCTTGACCAAAATTGGTTCAAAGCAACTTGTTTAGATCATTGCTCATGAGAAAAAGGTTCATGATATTCCCCAAATCAAGAAGTGGATTGAGACACGTCCTGCTGACATCATGATCTTGCCAAACAGACAGGCCCAGAAGTAATTTGAATTCCCAATTCCATTAATTATCAAATAAAAAGTTGGTAATTGAATTGTATTAATTGTGTACAATAAACATTCTTATTTTTTTATTTCCAATGACTAAGCGAAACAGTAGTTGAGCTCAATGAGAAATAAAGAGAGCGACAAGTTTTTCTTAAGAAACATCAAGACTTCCTTCATATTTATTGCCTTTCTTGAGACGATTGGAGACCAACTGCCGACTCTCATTGAATGAACCTTTGCCTACAACAAAGATATATGAACGATGAGAGATAAAATTGAATCATAGTTACTTATTGAAGTCCGCTGAGTTAAATCCAAAGTACTGTAATCATTGTCTGTAAGATGGTTACTAGAAACTGGAGGAAGATATACACAAACCACTGTCATCTGGGAAGATTCTAGATGTTTTTCGTTCTTTACTTATTGGATTACTGAACGGATCATGCTTCATCTCTCTTCAAGGACAAATACTCTCATTGAAGAAATAAAATCACTTACTCTATTAACTCGTCGGTCGAAGAATCATCATACTCGGAGATGAAGACGGGATCTCCTGGAATACGTCATTTCCACCTTCCTGCTTCTGGTCTCATTAACTAACCGACAACATAATGTTCTTCGTCGGAATCTAATAGGTCATGACGAAGATTTTCATCATCCCAAATAGGCAAATTGTACTTCAAAGTTGTAGTGTCTTCGGTTCGCTCATAAGAAGTCGCATCGTCTTAAACTATATATTAAGGAATCCTATCCTAAATATCACGTCACCTGTAACACTTAATTTGTCGTGAAGTTCCAAAGGGGGAGGAAGCGGTGGCTCAACGTAATTCTTTGAAATCTGTAACAGTTTCTTTATTCGATCAATGAAGATGAGTGTTAAGACCTTTCGAGATGCTTCGTTCATTATTTCTTCAAAAATAGTGTTGGCATTCAATTCATCAGGCTTATTAGACTTTTGCATCACTTGAATAGGAATTGAAAACTTTCAAACGATATATTATCATTACCATTGGTTGACCATTCAGAGTCCATTGTCTCCTTGTTTCTATCTTTCTGCCGAACTGCGGAACGAAGCAATAAACATTAATCTACCCAAATGAAAAAAAAACCTTTGAGATATTTCAGATGGAATAAGCCACAATTCCTATCACATGGCCATGTTGGACAATAAATTGACACTCCATTGAAACAACGATACATTAATGTTTTTTAAAAAATAATCTGTAATAGTATTGAGCTTTTGTTGAACAAAATATCAGAAGATTGAAAGGTTTGAAAATCAGTTAATGATTCAACAACTTCAATGATAGTTTCAACTTGAAAGCGAAGCCTTGTTGGGTGGAGGATTAAATCTGAATAGAAGGAAGACCTGTGAAAGAATTGTAGCAGAAATTGACTAAGTATAGAATAACAATAAAGAAAGAGAATGAGGGACAGAGAGAGAGAAAGAGAGAAGAGTAGAGAGTAGAGGGAAATAGGCATATGCAGACGAGAAGATATGAAATGATGGTCAAGATCGGAATAAAGATGAGGAGAAAAAGATAAAATACGTCAAAAAGAGATGGCATGGCAACGAAACACAACTGAAAACGATAAATGAAGAAAGATGGTAAAAATTTTATGATATAAAGAGGAAAACATTCATTCTGTCGCTAAAGTCAAGATATAATCGGAGAGCAAGAGCTTCTTTGAAAATTGTTTTTATATAAACTCGCATATTGATCAATTGTTAAAGCAGAATCATAAAAGCATGAAATTAACTATATCATATAATTAGGTAGCAGACATTTCATAATGGATGGTTCAAGATATAGAAAGGATGAAGAGACAGAGGGAGAGATGGCAGAAGAGGAAGAGATGGTGAGAATGGAAAAGGTTTTTGAAAAAAAAGCCCAGCTTAATATATTTAATGAGATGATAATCTCTATGGAAATGACTTCTAATCAGTCAAGCGGGGGAAAAAGAACAAGTTCAGTTTGTAGACAATTTCCTTAACTATACACATATTTTTTAGTAAATTTTCATTGAGAACCTGTAAGTTTAGTCGTGGGGGATCAAAAAGTTGCTGATTCCTTCTAATTTTTTAATATTTATTACACAAACCTTCCGAACAAATTGTAATTCTTATTGACAGAAGAAAACTTTTTGATCGCGAGATCAATTAGTTCCCACCCCTTATAAGAATCTTTTTAAGCGGGGAGACATTCTATTGTTACGGTATTTTATAATGATAATCTACATTCTGTTTATGCTTCTCTGTGACATTTATGCTCAACCATACTATTCCGGTAACTGTTCCATAGATTTCAACAACAATTATCTTATTTGAAGGATCTTACGTAACAATGGATTGGCCTCAATATCAACAAACACCGTTCAATCCTTATTCAGCTCCTCAATTTAATTATTTTAATCCTTACACCTACCAACCATATCCTGTTTATTATAATGCTCGTCCTTATCAATATAATTCACCACCTGGCTTGTGGGGCATGCGACGTAGAACAGGACACTCAGATCGCTATGGTGGTAATTTGGGATATAACTACGGATGCATATTCACTTGTGTTGGAGGATGAGGACAAACCTTTGTAATAATAATAATAATAATAACAATGATGCGGGTGAATGTAAAATAGTTTCTACGTCATTTGAAGAAATCTGCTGCTGTACAATATCTTTGCTTCTCTTTGATCGTTCTGAAAATGTAATTCATACTTGACACACTGACAACCGTTCCATTAAACGAAATTAATACAAATGATTTCTTTCACGTGAACCCATAAACCACGTGAAGTACGTGAAGGATCGTTTTCTCCCGTGACGTCAACTGAAAATTCTTTTCTCTCGTTAATCAGTCTATCTGTCAGTGAAATTAGCGTTTGGTTTTTAGTTGGTCACACGAATTTTCCGTTTGGTTTGTTGGGTTCGAGATTTGTATTAAGTTATTAATTGCTTCCTTGCCTTCGAGAACTGTAAAGTGATCTTTGAATAAAGCATTTTATTTGCCTGTTTAAATTCTCTTTTGAATAACAACTATGTTTGAAGATACTGCCTGATAGGTTTTTAAGCTTAACCTCTCATCGTTTTTTAGTTTGAAGAATAGAAATTTGAATGTAAGGCTGGTTTTTCTCCTTCTTTATTTTCAAATCAGAGATTAGCGATTTGTTTGATGAAGTTCCGTATTAGCTGGAACATGAACCACTTCCTTCTCGCGCATGATCATTTTTCAGAAATTGATATGAGAGAAGTCGTCAAATGAAGAACTGTGAAGATAATTCGCTGATTCACAAGTCTTTATGTTATTCTGGAGATGGCTGGACAGGCAAAGACTGAACAGAATTAGTGATTTCGAAAAAATGAGAGAGAAAGAAAAGAAGAGAAAACTGCTTGAGAGAATAGAGAGTGGGTTGCAAGAGACAACAAGTGCATAGATCGACGTCTGATCTGTGATGTTGCTCTAGCCATGTCTCATTTGAGTAGCACCACAGATTACTGACCAACCGCTAGCATCTCTAAATTCTCCAAATGTATTCCTCATATCTATATCATATATTTAGTTGCTTTATTTATATTTTCAAAAAATGAATTGAATTTCATTGAATCAGTTAAGTTTTGATCAAACAATTCGCCATAAACGTCTGATGTTTGATGTATGAAGCTTCATATTGATTTTATAAATTTCAAAATCTTAAAAAGAACATTTCTCTTATTTAATGTTCTCCCGTTACTCAAATAAACAGATGATTCACTTGAGAACTTAATGAGCGCAGTTTCCTTTTGATTCGTTGGTTCGTTTTAGTTCTTCTTGTGTTACCTCATATTCTCTCATATTCAATTTGATTTCAAACATCGGTCTTCCATTGAACTTTCTCGTTGCCAATCATCCCCAACTAGTTTAAATGAAATTTTCAATTCTTTTATTTCTTTACAAACATCTGCTTGTTACTGATTACACCATTCATATCATTTATAATCCTTTCTTCCTCAGCTTCTTCTTCTCATAACCTTCTCATAACCTTCAAATCAATCAATACTCCCTTGTATGGATTTTTTCAAACTTAAACATCAACTTGTATTTCTGAACAATCACTTTTTCTCCATAAAAAGATGAAAGATTGATGTTTGAACTCTTATTGATGTTCATCATCAACAGCATCAAGGCTCCTTTTAGTCAATGAGCCATTCCAACCGAAATTTCTTTTTTTTCACCTAAAAACTATTCACTTTTTTTTCGAATTATTAAGATTTTCAGTTGTGACGTCACAAAAAACATGTCATCATCGTCATCAGCGGGTTTATAAAAACCGGAAAAAACATATGAACGTTCAACTCAATTAAAGCACAAAATCATTTTACAATTTCGTTTAACTATATCGTGTATCTTCTTTGAATTCTGCAAGTTGTATTCTAAATTTGAATATTCCACGTCATATCCACGCATGAACACTAACGCAGCTTCATCATTTTAAATCAAAAGTTACGCATGGAGCGGTTGTTCATCTTCCCTCGTTATCTTCCGCTTCCGAATGTTTGTTTTCTCAAGTTTTTCATTTAATTTTTCCAAGTTTAGTTTTTTTTTTTGCAAAAGAAAGAAGGCGTTATCTGTAATGTATGCTCATCAAGCTGTTCTCTCAATCATCTCTGGTCACTTATAGCCTCAGCAGCCCGCTCGTATCTTGCTGAACACCAGCTGACTTAAAAACTCTAATTAACCTTCATTTCCATAGAAATTCATCAAATTCCTTTTGAATCCGCAATGGCCATCTTATCAACTGCCATTCAAAGATGTTTTATCTTTCCATTCATTGAAATAATTATTCATTTCTCCTTATTTATCTCGTCTGTTCTCTCTTTTGATTACTTTTTCTTTCCTGCTCTTTGATCAGACCATTCATTCTTTTTTTGGGTTATGAAGCTGCAACTTGAGAATCTTATGATCTTCATCTCATTTTCTATAAATTATTCAATTAAAAATTGCTCTACCTCTCTTTTAATCTTTTTTCTCATACGCTTGACTCCTCCCCTGAAAGATCGGAATTCATCCACTTAAGCTTACATGCGAAAACAAATGACAGACGTGTTCTCAAAGTTCGTTTTTCCTTTTCCAATTAGAATATTTCATCCTCTCCTTTTTTCCTATTTTCCAAACTACTCTCTTATCTTAGAAGAATCTTGACACTTTACTTATAACTCTTCGATATCATGTGTTTTTCATTTTGTTTGTTATCTTAAGGACTCATTTAGCATTTGTGATCTGTGGTTTAACATAGCAGAAGAATCGCTTTCATTATCAGAAAGTTCAGAATACAAGCTTTAACCTTACTACCCCACCCTTTAAATTCTCTGTTCCTCTCCCTCTCATGACCTCTCTATCTGTCTCTAAACTATACAAATATTATTTATTTTTAGATTTTATTATGACTGTTTAGTAAGAGAATATGCGAAAAGCAACTGGACATTGGTCGGATAGCCTTCAGTGTTTTTTCCAACTCTCTTTCACCCTCCTTCATTGCTTTATGCTGTCGCCCTGATCTCCGATCCAATGCCCAGATGTTTGATGTTTCTGTTCAGTTCTTTTTACTTGCAGTCTCCCTTACTAACGTCTGCTCATCGACCATCTCTTGCCGTCGTTAAGAATCTTCTTGTCTCCCCTCTTCTTTCTCATGTTTTCGTTGGACCTAGAAGGAATCATAACAACTAAGTACATTATTTGAGAAACATGGTCAACTACACCAACTTCAAACAACGATTTTGCTCGATCGTCGGCAAGAAAGTTCATCACATCAGAATTACTCAGAAAAAAACATGAAAGTCTCTCAAGATTTATAAGCTAAACTTAATAACTTATAAGCTCCTTCTAGAGTAAGAATAACAAAGACTTTAAGCGGATAAAAAAGTAAAAAAAGTTTTCTTTTCATCATCGTTCAAAGAAGCTTTAAGCTCTTTCAACTCTTAAATACGAAAAGAAAATAAAACAAACCGAACTGAGAGAGTGATGATGCAAAAAATAGGAAAGAACTAAAGCTTGAGATAAAGTGATTAATGAAAATCATTTTGAAATCGACTAATTCCCGGCCACTAATGAATTTAAGAGGGAAAAGCATGTTTTGTCGTTTCATCTTTGATCATGCAGTACAAGCTCTTATTCGATAAAAAAGGTAGAAGATAAACAAAAGAATATTATTAATATGCAAATAATTGAAGTTTGTTCTTCGACTTCTTATGGAAGCTTTATCCCTTCAAGAATAGTTTTGTACTTCCGATTTTGACCTTTTTCTCGCGGCTACAATCTGAAGTTACTCAGAATATTTTCATGATACCACAAGAAATGAGCAAACATATATTCTTTTGAGCTTCTGCTTCCTTCTTCAAATAATTGGAATGACATCATTCTCGTCATCGTTAGTTTTCTTATCAGTACTGATTAAATTGCTCTTCAAAAAGATCATGAGAGATATCATATCTCCCACACCCTTTTCTATCTCTCTCTCTCTCTGACTGTATTATTGTCTCTCTCTATCTTTCTACGAACACTTCACTACATAAAACGTTTGATCTTCGCTTTTAATTCCGTAATTTAAAAAACACCGTGTAATACTTTCCATAGTTAATGAGAGCCCCTGTACACTGTTGGTCATTAATTTTTTAAATCCGCCTTCTCTAATATCTCAAGCAGATTCGTTGTATGCCAGATTATTTCTTTTACATTTAACTTGGATAGTCGACGCTCTCAATAACGATAATGATTTCTGATTCCCGAACGCTTCATGATCATCGTTTTTACTGATCAGAGGTGAATAATTGTCTGCTTTCTATTCTCTCTCACTATAGCTCCTTCTCTTTCTCTTTTTCTCTTTTTCTCATCTCCATAGTTTCCATTGAACTTGAATTGCATTTAACTTCATTTTTCTCTCATCCTCTCTCCTTTTCCTTCTATGTCTTCAAGTTCCGAAATATTTTCATAATGTTCTCATAAAGTTTGATTCTCCTCTTCTGCTAAACGAACTTATACCATTTTCACGTGAACATCAAAGATTTCCTAAAGGAGGTTTCCAAATATATCAGTGGCTGATTGCTTTCTTCCCTTTGTTGTTATCAGCGACCGTTATCCTCTAGTAAATCCTTTTTTTCTTCACAAAAAAATTCATTTACATAATCAAAATTGTAATCATCAATAAAACAAGAAATGAAGATCATTCCGCACTTGAAGCTCATTTCAAAGATCAAAGATCATTTCCTGGATTTCCTGTCTGAGGTTATTCGTTGAATCATTCCGTTCCACGATTTTCATTACAAATTATTGGCTTGATTGTCTTCTTTTAACTCGAAGATTGATGTAGAAGATACTAAAATAACATTTTCAGAACTCAAATTATGATTTTGTCCGAAATGTTTTTAACATTTCCACATCACTTCTCCCTACCTGTACTTCCATCCTCAACCAATTCCACAGTATCGAGCATTAACTCTGAAGCTCCTCTTCCCATGAATGATCAGAAAGCAGAAAGTATTTTTGTTTCTACACTTGTATTTTCTATTACTTGAATTATTCAGAATCGCGACCACTTCGTTGTAATGAATTATGTGCTGTATGCGGTGATCACTCAACTGGATATCACTATGAAGTTCCAAGCTGTAATGGATGGTACTTGTTCTAACTGTAAACAAACGTTCAAAATTCTATTTAAGTAAAACCTTCTTTCGCCGAACAATTATTTCCGAAAGAACATTTAAATGTCATAAAAATGGAAATTGTATGTTTACCAAAGGTACCTCTACCACTTTTCATCCGGACACACCTTACTTTTTAAGATATCCGATGTGCTTGTCGGTCTTGTCGATTCAAGAAATGCCTCGAAGTTGGAATGAATCCACGAGGTTTAAACCTACTTTAAAAATACTTTTAAATGCTGCTTTGTAGCAATTCAAACGTCAAGACCAGGCTTCTCCCCGAAAGAGGCTTCTCCACTAAGCTCGTCAAGTCCGGAACCTGTAAGAGCAGATTAAATAAGAAACGAAGTTTTCATGATCTGGTTTCAGATGAGTAAAAAGAGAGCCTACGACATAAATTCTTTGTTGGATATGCAGAAAGCATCCTGTTCCACGTCTGCATGCTCAACATCAGCTTCTCCATCTTCACCAGAGCCAAAAGCTCAGATTATAGATAAAGAGCAAGTAAGATTTCCATTACCTATTCTCATATTAAGAGAACTTTAAAGATCCAACGTATTAATGAAATTATGAATTTGGAAGACCGTCTAGATTATCTTCGAAAATCGAACTTTACAGCTTCGCGCAATCTATTGGATTTGTTGACGAAACCGTGTGCTCTTGATGATATCACGAAATACGAGGTAAGCATAACTATATATGTGTACTAAAACTTGATATCTTTATTATTCAACAACTCCGATCATTTCAGCCGTCACCACTTCATTTCGTTGGTAATCAAGACATTGATTTCGATAAAGAAGCAACTTATGTAATCGAATATATTAAATCATTCAGTTGGTTCCGAGAAATGTCTTTCGGCGATAAGGTTTCTCTTGCAAATATTCAAAAATAATAATTTCGAACTCTTATAGTGCGCACTGCTCTGTGATCGAGCACCACCATTGGTGACATTAAGGATTGCGTATAAGAGATCAATAAGACCACATGATTATGACGACTTCTACAGGTTCGTAATTATTTGAATAATTAACATAAGTGGTATGACGTGAAATATTGACGCAAAAACGTGGAATTTCGCTTGTTTGCGGTTTCCACGTGAAAAATTTATTTACATCCACTAAGCTCTCATGAACGGTTGTGTTTTCAGCTCCACGTTAGAAAGTGTTGTTTCCACTATGCAACGACTGGATATTGATAGAAAAACATTTGCATTATTGAATATTGTTATGTTATTGGATTGCTGTAAGTTTAAGAAAACATTATTATCTCTATTGGGTTTCTCTAGCGAGTTACGTCCTTAGTGCACAAGCGAAGGAAGTCTTAACGGAAGAAAGAATGAAACTGTTGTATTGTTTAAGAGTAAATTTATTTCAAAAGTGAGTTTACATTTATAAAATTCTCCATAATTTTCATTCTTGTTTAAGAGCCACATCGACAGCAGCTTTGTTATTAGCTGACCATCTTTCTCTTATGTGGACGATTCTCAAAGTAGCTGCGAAGTTTCGAAGTGAAATTGTGAAGAATGTGCCTGTAAATAGTCTAACAAGACAGTTGTTTGAAGTTGTACATTTATAACCTACTATTAATGATAATAATAAACTATTATTTATTAAAAAAGACTTGAAGCCCTTTGAAATAAACGTCCTGCTCCATATTTTGATTTACTACAACAGGTAGACGATTGCGTAGTTGGTAGATTATTATGAATGGGAGAACCAATGAATATAAGGGGGTCTACACAATTCAAATAATTAACTTTCATTTTTAGTCTTACATTCGTTTCTTACCAAGAATGACAATTCAACATATACCATGTATGTGGCTATATCGTTCACATTGTAAACCTAGAAAGTATGAAATCAAAAAGATCAAGTGGAAATGACTCTTACATAACTGTACAAGTTCAGAGAGACAAGAGTCGAAGAAATAATGACAAAGTTTGATATGGCAGTTGGTAGCAGTAGACGAATCAAACGTCGATTTTCAACAACCTTCAAACGTATTCATGAGAAAAAGGAAAGCATGTTTCGAAACCTGATAACGAGCTCCTAACTGAGCATTTTTATTACTAACATAAAGCTTATGCTGTTGATTGTTTCGATAAAATGATCCCATGTAAATTACTATGGCAGTAACTTGGACTATGAACTCTGCCATCGTATGAATCTAAAAAAACAAGTAGATCAATGCGAAATATGCAAACCAAACTTGGAACTCAGCGCTTTTTTCGACTCTACGCACTGTGAAATTTGGTAACATCTTGTAGTGATCAACACCTGGCAGAAGAATAGCATAGCTGCAGCCGAACCCGCCAACAATCTGAATAAAAGAGATAAAGGGATTGAAACGGAAGGAAACGGACAGATAGAATGCTCAGAGCTATGCCTAATTTGGAATTTTTCACGGATTCATACTTGAAAGGATAAATGGTTGACACTAATCTTTCAATACTTAAAGCTAGTAAGGTGAACGCTTGAACGTTCATGGCGAAAACGGACGGCATACGAGCGTGCATGGCAAGAAGCGAAGGAATTGCGTAAGCACAGGGATCTTCTGATTCGAGTATGAATATTCTATAAATTAGTAATTTATTTATTCTAGAAATCTAAGTTCACCTGTAAACATCGTAGGAATAAGGGAATATGAGTGAGAATGGTAGAATAAAAACAAAAAGCATATGAAAAGCATAGATTACCCGTGCATTTGGATTGACGAGCCATTTGGTTCCCTGAAAACCAATTGGATTGAAACACTCTGCATAGTTTGTTTACTACCTTACTAACAATTACATAAGAAGTCACTAGTGAAGCAACTATACAGAGGAATAATTTGTATATAATCAAAGCTTTGAATATGATATTGTTAGTGAGAGTTTGAGCCAGAACACAAGCCTCCTGAATTGTCATATCGAAAAAAACATAGACTGAAATCAGAGAAACTATTATGTGGCCAGAGCAGAAACAATAAAAATATAGCATTAAGAGAATTAAAAAGGGAAAACATATTGAGAAAAAGTAAAAAGCATGAACTGGATGTTTCACATTTCTTCAAACAGATAGAAACACCAGTAGATGTATGAGAATGTTTTGATGAACTGAATTATTTTTTTGCTTTGAAGCAGGAACCTTCATAATTGCATGTAAGAGAGGATAAGAACAGCTGAAACTTCGAAGACTCTGTAGAGCAAAATAATTTTTTACTATCAAATCTCACAATCCGATATGATTATGTCACAGGAAATGCATTGAGACAGAGTTCTCTTTCTAATTAGAAAGGGAAACTTATATAAGGCACGTTCCCCTTTATGTCCTGGGAGAAGTAGATCATACGAGTCATTGTCTTATCCCACAGTCAATTGTGAATTCTCATTAACTTCATTAATTATTTCATAACATTGACTCTAACAAATGATTGGCTTTAATCAAAATAGTGTTATTATCAAAGACCCTCCTTCTAACACTCTCTTTTCTTTGCCCTCTCTCTATCTATTCTTCTTTCTCTTCTCCACACATTCATCCCTCTCTCGCTGACTTGGCGTCTTCAATAACAATGGATACGCAAAGTGGCTGGCCTTTTGTCCTTCGCATAAATGCAATTTACCATCAACACACTGAGTGTTGAAACTAAAAAATCTTTTTTTGTCTTGAATATTTTTGTAATAATTTCATCGCAAAAAAAAATTTGAGTTTCGTCCTAGAAAATTGAAAGCTACAGTCAAACCCTTGGGAACTACTCGCTTCCATGCTATACCAACCGTTCTTCATGTGTACGATTCGAATAAATGAGTCGGATTCCACGTCAAATTTCACACGTGAACATTTTCTTTGGTCCCGCCAATTCTCGTATTTCAATTTGAAATTATCAAATGTATCGATTATGAGCAGATGGATAACTCTCAAACATAAATGAATAAACCTTTTTTTTGAAGAAGGTTTTCTTCACATATGTGCATGTTTGCTTCCTAGCGAAAATGCGCGCGTCGTTGCGCTAGCGGTCGATTCATTTTGACGGAATGAGAGGAAAAAATTTCAAAAAAATTACAATTTTTCTGCATTTACATTTTTATGCGTTCGCACTCTCAGAACAGTTTTTTTTAATATTTTGATAGTTAGGAAAAAAATTAAATCTTACCCATTGTGTCGGCGCTTGGTCGGTTTTCAATTTCTTAAATCTTTGTTTTCTAGTAATTTCAAGGAAATTCTTTTTTTTAGATCAATAAAATAAATGAACGAAATTCATTTAGCCACGAATTCGATATCAAGCAAAGCTACGAGGTAAAGAACATTTTAAAAAAATTTTCTAATTAAATTTTCAGTGATACCGAAGATGAAATTTTTATTATTGACGAGGGAGTGGGTCTAACTCCACACACATTTGAATATAAACCTCAGTAATATTTACCTGAAAATTTCTTGTTTAATCACTTATTTTTAGATTAGCTAGTAGTCCCGAAAAGAAGGGTCGTGGGAGACCGAAGAAATTAACCCAGACTTTCTTTTTTGATCGCCCAGTTACTTCCTCGTTCCCTAAAAATGGCGAATCGTAGGTTCTTTGCACATATCTAAATTTATAAGTTTCTTATGATAGGGTACTAAGGAAGAGAGGACGCCCACGGAAAGAGTAAGCTAACCTAGCAAACGCTTTCTGTAATTCAACTTTTCATAGGAACCCTATACCAACTAATTCAGCAATCCCTTTGCTTGTGGCTTCTTCACCTTCACTATCCGATGATGGAGCCGAAAATACTAGTGATGAAAGTAGCGATACCTCTTATACTCCTACAAACAATACTCTCGTTGCCACGCAAGTTTTATTTTTTCCGTCCGTACGTATAACTCTTTTTTTCTAGAATTCCTAAACGTCGAGGACGTCCCCCTAAAAGAACTCATATAGAGGATTTAAATGAACCCGAAGACCATTCCGTGTTAGTCGTTGTTAGCATATAAATATTCTCGTCTCTTTCAGACCTGCGAAAAAAAATCCTCAGGTTTTGGCTGATGTTCTCAATGTTACAACCGATGGACATGATTCAAGGTAAATCTTCACCTTTGTCAGCCCACTCAAACAATTTCGTATTTCAGTGTCAAAAAAAAACGTGGCCGGCCAAAAAAAATTCTCAACAATAATTCAAAGTAGTGATAGCCATATGAATCCTTAAAAAGTTTACTTTTCAGACTTGTTGTTACTTTAGGTAAAAAGAAGGGTAAACGTGGTAGGCCTAGACTGCATGACTTAGCCAGGTAGTTTTCTTGGTAAACTTTGATTCATGAATACTATTTGCAGACCAGTTACGAAACACCAGAGAAGTTCAGAAAGGTAGAGATACGAGTCTTGGTTTATAGCTCGAGTGTATGTTTCAGAGTTAGACGATCAGCAAGGGTACTCAGTCCTGAGTTCAACAGGTTTGACATATCGTTGAAGCATTTACACCACCATTACAGCCCTCACATATTGAAACCCAAAACAACAATGGTATTGCCCTTAGATATTCCTGTCAGCCAAATTGATCCCAATTTCTCCAAAGTATATCAAAGAGTAATAATATCATCGTAATGAAAACTTTTTAAAGGAAGAAGCTTTATCCGACCTAACCGCTTTATACAACACCGTTCCCGATGGTATGACGTATCTATTCCATGCTCAAGTTAAAGGGTTTATAATTACATTAAAAGAAGTGAAAAAAGTCTCAAAATTCCTGACTCAAGTGATGTTCTTACAGATTATGCCAAATTTCAATCGGGACTCCTCACCTAGAATATGATATATATTGTAAACAGCATGCCATTCAATGTACTATCTATTGAACTCTTCCCTGTAGAATGATGTTGTATAAATATCTACTGATCGTTTCAAATAATAAAAAAATGTTTTGCCTTAAAAGAAATAACCATTCATAGTTTGCTTCAGGTGAGCCTCTAAATGTCAAAATCATTGCTACCCAGTGAAGCAATGGCGCCTGCGTTATTCTCCTCATACGTACTCATGGCTCCTACATAGAACAAATCTAACTATGAATTCCTCTATTGGAGAAAACCTAATTATCTAACACGAAAAGTGTCGTGGACCGGCGTAGTCTTACCCTCCTTTTTTTCTAGCAAAGCTTCCCTGATATGATATTTCAGCTGGGGATTTGTTCTCAGACAAAAAGGTTGACAAGTGTCTAACAAATTTGGTATTGGGAAAAGATACATCTATTTTCAGTGAACTTCCCCTTGAGCTGAGCAACTGAAGCGAACATTCTCAGTTTCAGAAGGGAAAATTTCTCAGTGATTCACTAGCTCCGCCTAGTGCGATCGAAACGAACGAAACAAATGATTATGAAAATTTATCAGGAGAGAGAAAGATAGCATTCATTTACTGATTGAAGCTGTTATATTGAGAAGATTCACGAAAGACTTAGATTACAGTGAACATTTCAGAAAATCTGAATCTCTAATTATATTTTGGCACTAAACGAATAAATTTGGGAACGATAGAAGCGTACGAAGCATGAGAACATTGAGAAGCAAGCAAGAAGATCATATCAGTTGCGGGAATGGTCAATGAGAGTGTGCGAGTAAGTACCAGGTTGGAAGACCATTTCTAATTGGTCAGACTCTATCTTCCTTCCACCGTACCTGTTCTTCAAAATCTGAACACGGAAACTATCAAAGCACATACTATCTATAACTCACATATAAAAATTTGCGGAATTTTGCGCGATCTTTGTCATCTCGACGTCTTTGAATGGCTAGAACATTGTCGGCTTCCTGCGTGACTCTTGCTGATCCGCCAAAATGTTGTATATCCAAGTCAGTGTCGGACTAAATTTTATAATGGTTTACATCAATCAAAATTGTACGAACGTCAGTTTTGCGAGGATGCACTACCATTGTAACATGTACTTGATGGTCAGTTGCCATTTTTCTCATTAATCCAACAAATCTGTCCTGCAAGAAAGAAGCATGACGTCAATGTGTTCAAAAAAGTTTTACTTGATGATGGAATTTCTCGAATCCACTGGAGCTATCATCAGCCATAGTTGTCTGATTCACCAAAAATTGCAAGTTATCGATAACAACATGTTGGCAACCGTTGTTAATCACGTGTTGACTTATAGCCTTTAAGAAGAGAGATTAATACTGAGAGAACCCATCAGTTTACCTTTGCTATATCTGTAATGTTTTTGTTCATCAAAAACTCATCTGTTTTCAAAATAGTTAGTGGACCCTTTGTCCGTTCGAACTTGTCCAGCCAACTATCTATAGCACTGCTATACTCAACGCGATACAGAGGTAGTCTGAAAATGAAGTTATCGTTCATCGAATAAGACTATGTTGAACGTGATTGCAACAAAAACAAAGTTCCTCGGAACACCTTAAAAAGCTTTACATCCTAATATGAACACAGTCTCGGATCTTTTCACAAGTAAGCGCATGAGTTCGTGGTAGAAGCAGTAGCCCCACATCTAGTTCGATTACGGTACGCTGTGCGCTTAAATTGTGGAAAAATGCGATCCTTTCTTCAGAATTTCGCTAAGAATCTCATGAAGCATCTATTATACATGCACTGGTACCGTAATCAAAACTAAATCGCACAAAACATATGGTTGCTTACTTTAATCCGTTTCTAAACGTCAATGTGCGCGCAAGGCTACGAAGATGTGACGGACTGCAGAATTGAAAGAACAATTAGTATTTTCAAATCGGTAGAATGAGGCAAGGATTTCATCAATCAAATAATGTAACTTACGCAGCGTATTGAACCAGCATCCACTTCAATATTTTCTCCTCTGGCATTTCAAAACTGCAGAACAGAGTGCGTACCTAAAGAGAAGGTCATTGAAGGCTTTTTGACAAGAGTAGACCCCCTGGGTGAATAAATCCAATGCATACTCGCAGAGGAAAGTTGTTTTTCCAAAACCTGTACCACCTGTTAAAACAGTAAGCTCGCCAGGACGGAATCCCAGTAGATATTTGTTCAAAGCAGAAAACCGTTTCCACTGGAAACCCAATAAAAGCTTGTATAGTATTCTTCCGTACCTGAGCGAGTCCATGTTGCCGGCTGGATGAATGAATCAAATCGGCTTTCACTTCTTCTCGAATGTCTGTCATTGATCGGAATCCTTTATCACGCATTCGCACCTACACAGAAAATAGAAAACGCTTCGCTCACTATACTTACGGATCTTGAAGTAATAGCTTGTTTGACCTCAGTGTTTCTGTTATTCCGAACCATTTCAATGGGTCTATCAGCTACTCTAAAGAAACGTGAATCAGATATTTGGTTCGTACGTTATTGAATTACTTAACCAGAAAACACCGAGATGCGTTCAGAGCTGTTCCCCATTCTTTTGCGTAATCTAAATGTCGAATGGGAAACCATAAGTATATCTGATCAAAATCTTCTAAGTATGGGAACACAGAGCTATCAACTCGTTCGCCTTGAGGTAAGGCAAACGCTAATGCTCCATCAGTAGCTTCATATACAGCTAGAGCATCGCTGTAATTGGACACAGAAATTAAGACTAGGACCAGAATATCGCTTACCGCTCATTTGTGGTTAATACTACCATTCGATCAGAAGCAGTAACCATGTGGTACCCGAATATCCCACTGAACTTTGGTCTCGGTCTATATTTTATAAGGTATAAAATATAATATAATGCAACCGTTACAAAGTTTCATCTTGTATAGGATAGTTTTCTTTCTCCATTTTAGGTCCTATTTTCCGTATAACCTTTAATCCTGAAGGAATGCGAAGACGAGATGCTATACCTCGGTATCTAAAAATACATTTATTCATAGAAATTTTCAAACTAGTAAAATTTAACGCTTCAGAAAAAGAACCGGAAGCAGTACTGCATCTGAAGGCTAAGAAGATCAATACAAGATCTCATGCTATGCTTCAACAACGAGGAAATAAATAAAGACATTTTTGAACTTTAACCTTTGTTTCAAGCTATTACCTGGGATATAGTACTGCTGGTTGATCATACCCATCTATGTGCCCACGTACGTTATAACGGGATAATGTATCAGTGGAGATTCTCTTAATAACTCTAAGTTTAGAAAAAAAATTATATTATGATTACTTCAACGCCAAGCATTATCCGCAACTGCATCATATCGTTCATCTCCAGACCAATCATATCTCCTATGTCCACACTGTCGTTCCATAAGTATTTTATTTGAGGATCAGGCTGATAAGGAACAGATGACATGGCTCCGTCGTCAGAAGAGCTCCCTCCCAACCCGGCACGAGGAGAAGGTGCGTCCGAACTGGAAGATAAGAGAGTTGCAATAGTTATGATTAAAAAATGCTGTAATAAATTAGGTTAAGAGAGGCTTGCTTGCTTGCTTGCTAGGCTGGATGCAAGTATATAGATAGAGAAGTTTTTAGAAAATGCACAGTTTTTTTCCGTGAATGTTGACAAGCAAGATTTATAATAACAATACAAGCACAATTCAGCCTGGCAATGGAAGAAAATGCAAAGAACGGAAGGGTATTGCCGGATATGTGGCAAAGAAAGACCTCAAAAGGTATAAAAAGAATGTGGTAAGAGAGAATGATCAGACTAAGTAATTAGGTTCACCAATTCCTATTAAACCTGGTTGTGCAAAACCCATCATCAAAGGAACCATTGCTGCTTTCTGTTATGCGGTAAATATCTCCCAAAGGTTTATCATAGTCTTCCGATTTAGAGAAACTCAGCTCATCCCCTGATGATTCCGGTTGATCTGTATACCCCGCTTCTTCATCAAACTCAGAATCTATAGCATGGTTTTCTTCAACATCAGTAGCAGAGTCGTCAAAATCTGCCTCGTATTTCTCATATGCTGGGCGGATAGGATAATTACGGAAAACTATGTCTGAGTCAGAATCGGAATCGTAAGGCACCTGAATCTAGAGTCATAAAAACATCTGTCATACATTATAAACCTCTTCAGGTTCAGGTAGGATGAAAAAATCATCCAAGTCTATCCAAGTAACAGACTTTTCCGGCTTGGACTTATTACCATCTCTCAAGAGCGATTTTCCATCAGCTATGATGAGAAGTTCTACTTCTTCGAATTATGAATAGCGAATCAAACTGACAGTTTGTTTTGCATTGAAACCTACCGTCATAAGAAGGCACATCTGGATCATAATCATTGCAGATTGATGGCAATAAGCCAATAGGGTCGGCAGAAGAATGCCGAGATTTAGTACGGTGAGGAATTTTGAGTTATTGGAAAAAAAACAACTGAAGCTGAATCTCAGTTGTTAGTATAAGTGCTAGAGACTTTCGAGCCAAAAAGCTATTTGTCGCAGGGACTGCAGGACAACTGAACAATTATAATGCAAGAAACGCGTTAGTGTTCAGGTGGACAACATAAGAGAAATCACGCCCTTCTTTCTTTTTTTTCTATATTTCATTGTCTTCTTCTTTTTATGCTCTATGATGATTTTCGCCAACTTCCACTTATGTTGTGCTACTAATCGAGCACAATTGATGCTGCTCTGGCTTTGACATTTTGGGCCAAACTAGCAGAACACAAGCCGTGATATGTAAAGATTATAAACTACCTAAGAAGCCAAGCAGAAAATACTACATGTAAAGCAATAGATAACCATTTTCTCAACTGGCAGAAAACGACCAGAAGTGGAAAACTCAGATCATGAGTCATAAACATTTAGTGTAGCTTATTACTGCTTTAGCAGAAAAAAACTAGATTAAACTAAAAACAAATAATGTAATATTGTTTTTAGTAGCACAACCTAGTTTCAAGGCATAACAACAAGCAACCCCGCATTTAGAGTATTCCAATAGTCTTCTATGGAAAAGCAGCATGTAGCCCTCGTCAAAGTCTTATGTCCCGTTGAGTCATGACCATCTATACCATTTAAATATGGAGGGGGAGTGCTTGCTTCGTGACGAGTATACTGACAGAGATACTGATAATGAGCAAATATTGAACATAAGGTTAAACGTAGAGAAAAATGAAAAGAAACAGGGAATTTACTAATGCCACTAGATGAAGAAGCTAAGAAGTCGTCTTGTTCAAACCATCAAGAGAGTATGGAGAGCTTGACAGCATCAAAAAAAAAAACACATACTAACTAACTTATCTATGTCTTGATTGGAATGAGAACGTCAATTTTTCGAATGACCGGATAACAAAGAAGTTACCGGAAAGAACATTGCTTTGAGCAAAACGGAGAGAACTTTCTCGTATACTCCTTAATGCAGTAGTGCATACCGTAAGCAGAGGCTCAGGATTCTCTGAGAAGAAAAAAAGCTTTTAATGTAAAATAGGAGCGAGCATTGTCTTCGAAAGAGACATAGAGCGCAAGCTCAATTTAGACTGGTGCATAGGAATAAGGTGAACCAGCCAATAGCCCTGTGGCAACGAATATTTTCTGAAAGAGAACTACTCGAGCAAAAGTATGCATTTTCCATGGCCAAGCATGAGAAAAGTGCAATTCAAATCTACTGAAGGGTAAGTACGAGATAAGAAGTAGAAAGAGAGGCTTAGAATCTAAGAAAATCAAAAGGTGAACTTACTCATCACGTACGCGAAGGTGACGATCTTTTTTTTTATTGTTGATTTGATTATATTTCGACATAAGGTTCAAATAACTGACGTTGTCATAAAGATCTGAGTCAAACTGAAAGCCACATCTTTAGCATTTACTTGTGAATAACATACATTGTCTGGGCTTTCCATTCTACGAAGAGTTTCCTCTATTTCCTTTTCTTCCCTGGTAGTTGTTTCGTCGTCCTTGGTTGTTTCTGTTTTCCGAACGGTAATTTTTTTCTGAAAATCATGTACTAATATAAGAACAGAATAATATAGTTATGCTTGTACTAGAGACTAGAGTTAGTTTCAATATTATCATTTCTTCATGTTATTTCTCAGAAGTCGTTTTTCTAAAGTCAATGGGCATCAGTCGTGAAAGCAATTTAGAATTGCGAACAAAGAATAATTTTACACCCACAATATTTTCCTAAGCTCTCAAATAAAAACGTGCCGAAAACTATAATATTTTCAGCATTTCAGGGGAAAACATTTAAAAAAAACAACAGAGTGAGTTTGAACAAGTTCCTATTATCGGAAGAGATGAGCTGCTAGAAACACGAAGGTATATGGATCTTGGTTATATGGATACTGGTACGATAAGGAAGCATTGCGGTTCAACTAACTACGGCTAAATGATGTAGCAATACTGAGTAGGCAGGACAAGATGAAGGTTAAGTATAAATGGCTTCCGATACTTCCTTTCCTGGCCAACAGCTTTGAGACTATTATAACATAATATATCCTAGGAATGATATTCGAAATATGTATATATATATATATATATATATATATATATATATATATATATGTATATACATAAAAGCTAAGGTAATTACTTCTACCACGCGCATTTAGTACAGAATACTCGAAAAGCAATAACACAGGTAAACTCACTTGATTAGGTTAAAAACATTAGATTGGTAAAAACATCTCGGAATCAGAACGCAACTGGCTGCGCCCATTGTTGAAAGACAACTAACTTAATATACTCTTGGTACAGATGAAACCACGTGGACTTTACGACGTGAACTAAATGACGTGGCCATTCACGTGGACAGTCACGTGTGTTATTCACGTAAAGTCAGTTGGTTACGCAGTTTCATCTGCACAAGGAAATTGCGGAATTTAGAATAAAGTTAATAGACTTCGTAATAACAATCTTCTAGGGTATTGAACCATGTAATGGCAGACGCTTGTTTAAGATTAGACCTATTATATGATAGTTACAGGAAGAGGGAATGTAGAAAAGGGAAGTAAAGTACACGATGGCCAACCGATTTTATTGAACTTTGGACTTGAAGATATGCTCTAAGAATAATACAAAACTCTAGTTTCACGGACAATGAAACGACAAGAAAGCCTCAATGAAGCTTAGTGATTGGATTTTCAAAGAATACCTGACCAGCCTGCCATTCCAGAACTTTATCTAGTCGATCGGTCTGTGGCTGTAACTGTTCCCAAAAGCGGCGCAACGTTTTCTGACGGTCAGCTTGTGCTATATACATATACAGCTACTAACTTTCGAAATAAAATTGAAGAGTTAACTTGAGGAGAATTAGAATTCAACGATATCCGGTTAAACTCTCCACTCAAAGTTTATTTCAAAACGTTGAGGCCTTCAGATCAAAATTTCAGAAGCAACAGACCGGGAAAAAGGATTAAGTATGTAAACCGCATGAAGCTAAGTTAATAGGCCGTGAACAAGATTTTTTGAAGAAGTTAATAACTAAGTATTAGCAAAACACAGATAAGTTGAGGAAACATGAGAAAGGACCTTATCCATATCGTTTAGAGGCTTCGCAACCAAAACAGTGGTGGCTTCACAGATCTGTTCCTCTTCTGAAGACACTTTGTCTTCGTAAATCTCCTCAGTGGCTTTTTGCCGATCAGCAGAACACTTCAAGCAATCTTTTTTCATTTATAAAGTATTCAACTTCTAAAAGGTATAGGTTTAGAACATTCATCCAAAAAACGAGAACAAACGAAAAGAAAGTAGAAGGATAAAAAGAATTGAACCATCTTATCATGCTTATATCATATAATGCCGTTCGGGTATGAGGTTGTAGTTCAAGAGGCGGGGCAAACTATGCACTTTGACCCAAGTTTTTTGAGGAATGTATAAGAGTTGAACTACTTTACTTTATAGAGTGACTACCAGTGAAGTTGTAATGCTCTTACTTAGTAGGACAATGGGAAGCTAGCTAAGGTTCATGTCAATCCGCTCCGCCAGTTCATGACCATAATTAGAGGCACTTATCGGAAAGGTAGTCCAATACTAAAGTAAGCCCAGGCAATCAAAAAAATGAGAACGTTTTGACATGACTTATGAACAGGAAAAGAGGGGATTAATTTTAAGATCGGAGAACGCTGTAATATTTTATACTACTTGATATAAGCTAAAAGTCTTGCGTATAAAAAATACTATCTTACCTTATAATTCAAAAATGGTTGAGTGGCATCACATGCAGTACAAGTCATTTGTCCATCTACAGTAGAAATCAGATTTGTTTGACTAGCTCCACATTCCAAACAATCAGTCCTTATGAATCGACGGTACTCCTGCAAAAATTAATATATTCCAAACTAATACGCATAAATGATCGGATCACTCAAACTTATTTTCTACTACTTCACACAACGGCATAACATAAACTAATTTTTGATCATGTTTAACGTAAACCAACTTCTTCTAATATAGATTCTTCTCGTGTTTCTGTTAAGACTGGCTTTTTTTCAAGATCCTTCAATGGTGTCTGCGATGCAGCTAAATCTACATCCACATCATCTTCATCATCAGATCGAGGTGCAGAGAACGATATAGAAGAAGCATCTGAATGATGCCGAGAATGTTGATAACTTGTTGGGAGCCGACTTGTCTTCATCGGGCTCATCTAGATCATTTGACGATATGTCAACTAACAGCTTAAAGTAGCTGTCATAACTAAGTACGACGGCAAAAATGCTGTCAGAAACTCAAAATGAGAGCAAAGAGCTTTCAAGCTCGGCCCAGGTAGTCGTGTGGAGCTGGTATGTCAATCTACTCTCTCACTGACGTCTCCCGAATGTTTGTGCTATTTTTCCATTGGAGCAGTCTTTCTTACCAACTTGCAGACGATGTCAACGCCAACGACTACGACGCCAAACGCAGAGAAGTGAAAACACCAACAACACAAACAGGAGCTACTGCTGAGCTATATTAGTTGCCATATAGGAACAATCAAAGCTTAGAATGCAATGTGGTGGAAGGAGAGCCCCGTACCTACACCATAAGTCAAGAAAAACACGAGGGTATTTTTTTTTAGCCCAACTACAAAACTGTTAGAAAATTCAAGCTAGTACATCTTCTTCTATCTTTCTAAATTCCCATATACGACAAATGGAATAGAAACGTAATTGCTGAAGCAATCACTGATCTTTCAAACAGCAGGAATTCCCGTAAAATAAAAAAGGTGAAGCAGAAAAGGAACGAAAGCAATGCAAACGAAATGGCAACTGGAGGCTTAGGGCGATTCGCTTTTTTTTTCGAAAAGTTCAGAACTTGCCTGAAAATGAACTTTTTTGCAGCCAGATGCATCCCAACTTTTAGATATAATATCCAGTTCGCGACAATCATCAGATGCGATTTTATGTAAAATTAAACTCATGACTGAAAGTAAAATCTATGATTCAAAACTTAGTTAATAGCTCGATACACTAGCGAGACAACGTTGTTGTAAGCGAAAACCTAAGTGTCAATAAGTTTCAATCAGCATCTTTCATAATACAAGCTATTGAACAAGTTAGAAGAGAGCTAAAACAAAACAGAAGTGAAGAACAACTTCCGAACCACCAACGCGTAATTATGGTATGAATGAAAATCCCAAGGTAATAACATCCATGAACATTTCCGAATATGACAGACACCTAACTCATTTCGATAGCCTCTATAGCCAAAATATTGCGGAACAAGAAAAAACTTATAAACTATACAGCAAGACTTATCAACTCTCTTTCTAATGCAAAGAAAACTGAACTCACCGAATCAAGAAAGCGTATCTCATGCTGCTTCATATAATCCACCATTTCCGAACGAGTTGGAACATTTTCCAATTCTTTTGATTCGATTATCAATTTCTCCAAAACACTGATTTTTTCATACTCATCTTCCTTATGAGTAGTTTCTTCGGGAACCTTAATCTGACAATAATGAGAAAGATGAAAAAAACTAACGAGATCATTGAAAATAGAGTACTGACGAAAAAAATTATTACAACCATTGCTTTTAGATGATCCTTCCAAGGCCTGAAAAACGAACATTAATGCAAAAAAAGAAGCGGCGTACACGTGCATTACGCTCAGCCCGTGAACGTAATCAACCGCTTCTGAGCTCTCTCAAAATTAAAATGAACGCTTGAATGGAACAAGGACCCTTACCTTGCACTGGCAAATATTTGAATTTGAAAAAAGTGAGTGATTACGAATAATGGGTAAAGCCGTTTTTAGTTTCTTCATTTTTTCTGTTTTTGATAAAAATGATTTGTTAGTAGGAGTTAAAATATAAAATTGACGTCAACATGAGGCTTGGCAAACATATTATCACAGTTTTTTATTCATCGGTTATCCGCATATAACTAACAAACTGAGCGGCGACCAAAGTTTTTCACCGAAAAGCGAGGTTCACATAAACCAGTAGAAGATTACTAATTAACTATGTTAAAAACATAAATCCAAGTATATTAACAAGTGCAGAATAAACAAGAATCTGTAGTTGCAAAAAAGCAACAAAAAAAACATGAAAAAGGCGATTTGAAACAAAGACTAAGTACTAAAAACATTAAAACTAATCATCTCCGTAATCAATTAAAAATCTAACCAAGAGATCTACTTTTGTTTTTTAACATTCAAAAACCTTAAGCCAAACTATCGAAGTTTACTCCATATTCAAAGTATTCGGAAAATCGAATAATAGCGTTCTAAGTGATCAGATGGAATGATTTGGCAAGGTGCAATTAATAGAACAATAGATGTTCAAGAGAACGTTATGACTACAGAACTGAAGAGGACGAAATCCCAAACGATAATTCAGTTCACTGGGGAAAATCCTGTTAAGTAGAATGTTCAGGGGTCACCATGCCACTTTTCGTGATCTCCATATATCTCCTCTCGGGAAGACTCGTATGGGGGAGACTCTGCTCTATCATAATTCTCTGCAGGAGATTCTTTTCTCACCGGAGACCAAGAGAATGGAGGTGACGGCTCAATCCTAAAAAGTACGAAAAAGCTGATTTCTCTCAAGAATTTCACATACGGAGTCCCAAAAGTTCTGATTTCCAAAACATGATCTTGCCTCGGGATTGATAAAGTTGGGCCTCCGTCGTTATTTCGGATTCCGTTCAATCGTTCCTAAAACAAGTAATTGAATTAGGCAAAACAACAGGATATCACCTCCATCAATAAATGCAAATGAGCTATAAACTCTTCTTGCTTCCCCACAACCATTTGCAGAGCCAAAAACTTCTGCTCTGCAGCTTCATTATGCTCTTTGAGAAGCTATAACATTCAATTGAATACGTATTTCTGTTTAAACTCATACCTTAGAGGTTCTGTCCACCATTTTTTGTAGCTCCGAACTACGCCCACACTCATTTCTCAGATGTAGTTCCGTTTCCTGCCATCTTGCTCTGAAACAGCATGAGGCAACAATGATAGTTTTTTGAACCTGTCGCTTTCAAAGTCCATCCTGTCTTTCTCCCTTTCTTTTCTGAGTTTCTCAAGATCAGCCTTATACTGTCTTATGCGCTCATCGACTTCTGGAGTTCTCATACGTTCATCGTCTCGCCGGAAATCATTCTGAAGTAACATGTGATTGAAAATACCATATCAAGTTCTTACCATGACTATTAATTTCTCTCTCATTTGTTGATTTTTGGCAACAGATTCTTTCAAAGCGACGACTTCTCTCTAGAAATGAAGTTAACAACAGAACTTTGAATATGGGTTCACCTCTAATTCGATTATCTTGCTATCCCGAAGAGTTAACAACTCTTCGGCATCGTCCGCTTTCCTATTCAAGGCATCAAGCTGAATATTCAAATTCAAAAAAAAGTTTTTTGTGTGGCTTCATACCCAGCCCCTCCATTTCTTATTATTTTTTTCAGCGTTAGCATTTCTCTCTTTCATTTCAACCAACTGTATTTTCATGCTTTCCACTTCCTAAAGTAAGTTTGTAAGATTCCCTTAGTATTTTCTACAAACCTTTATCATCTTGCTCATAGACTGATTTGTTTCAGCTTCCCTCGTTTTATTTTCTCTTGATTTTTCCTCATTTTTCCTTCTCATCTCAGTCAATGCTTTTGTCAACTCGTTTCTTAAAGAAAGGTCTTACGACAGAAAATTGCTTCAATCCTACTTTTCGTTTAGTAATTGGTAATAGTTCTGTTTGAGAGATAGTAACTCAGTTTCGGTCACCTGAATTGATATATTTATTTGCTAATACGTATTATATCACCTTTTGCTGTTTGATTTTAGCAAAGAGCTTCCTGTTTCGATTGGCATGAAGGAGACGACAACTTCTCTCATACATGAGATGCTGATTAACCAATTGCAGTCTAGTCCTCAAAATGTCTCTCTAAAAAAATACAGATGAATTAGTATCAAATTGACCTTCACCTGTTTGTGAACATCCGGTAAGCCTTCTGTGATATGAGTCATATCATCATAGATTTTACCCGGTAGTTTATCAGCTAGACCAAGTTCTTTCAGGCAGTTATGGAAATCCTACGAACGGTGGAACATCATGAATAAAGGTTGTAAAGCCTACTCTGCTGGCATCCATATAACATTCTCGTCTAATTTCATGTTCCCTCTCCAAGTTCGACTCGAGTTGATCATCTAATATCAGTAATTTGCAATCTTTTAACAGATTTAAACCGTTGAACTCACAATACTTGTCCTCGATTGGAAATATGAGCTTCAAATATGGGAATTGCTCAATCATGTTGGTCTGCTTTGGCACAATCTTAGATTCAATTTCAGCGCGGACCTTCAAACAACCTGATAATTAACGACTTTCTCTGGTTCACACCTCATTTGCAGGAGCCTTCTCATACAATTCTCCAATTATGTTAGGGCAAGAATTAGTTCTTTCACTAAATCAATTTTGTTCGACTCAACAATCATATGAACTCACGCAATTTTACAACATGTGTGGTGTTTACTATTTGTCCATTCATTCAAAGTATCCGGCTCAATTGTCGGACACTCACTAACGAATCTTTGCCTGAAAAGTGATGAGTATATGTTAACAGAAGCACCCGAGAACCTGTTAATCTTTGTGAAATAAGAGGTCACTGAGAAGCGACTCCGGACTCCATCCATCGATTCATTTGGATTTTCACCATTTTCGCTTATCTACAAGGTAACAAATTACAAAGTTTAACTGATACGATCCCACATCTGTTCCTGTCTCTACTGTGCTTGTTCTTTCTTTTTCTTCTGGGTTCGGAGGACCAAAAAGAAATGATGTTGACCTTGATCGAACAACAGCATTTTCATCAGGCTCAATTGCTCCGGCACGCTCTCTTACAGCTTTCACAGCAGCCTGAGCAATAAGAACATGCGAAGAAATGAAATTATGATAATACTCTTCTATCCTCTAAGATTTTAGCATTATGTTGACGAAATGCGACTTCGATAGCATGAGGAGACACTGAGTTCGTATCTGGAGGAATGACCAAAGGGGTGTGCACTCGGGACTGCAAAATGAAAAAATTATTATGGAGAGAGAGCTTAACTCACTTTTCTGTTATCCAAATTATCCTTATTTATTACAGTTGATACTGATGGAGGGGAAGAAGATTCATTTCCAGTGACAAGGCTTCGTAAAGACGATTTGTCTAGATCCGATGTGAAAATAGCCTTCAGACGTTCATTTTCAATTTCTAATAATAAAAACAACTCACATCATCCGCCAAATCGGAAGAAACTCGCAAAGCTTCTTCTGCTAATTCTGCTGTATCGTTCTAAAAACACAAAGTTGAGAAATATTCAACGAAGTTTATCAAACATCTGTATATCGGACTTCCTCCGCTTTCATCTCTTCAATATATGGAGGAGGATTTGATCTTCTGAATCAATAATGCTTCATTGGTACGGAACAAAAGTATACCTGTCCGCAGTTCTTTTGAACATGCTGAAACTGAGTCTGAACCTGCTTTCATTACCAGTAGACCGTCGCCTCTGAAACACAGTTTTGAGCTTGAATTTTATAAGTAGTGGGACTTTGTTTTTATCTTCACTGGTGATCACGATAGGAGGATCACAATCATCAATATTCCCTCGTTTCATGCTTGGTGTGCTAACTTGACTGCCAGGAGGAGTGTTGATATAGCTCATGAGTGTATTAGTCTCATCTTCTTCATCCCAACAAGGTTCGTTACCAACTATAAACATTTGTTCAATAAAGCAGTTGATTGAAAAATCAAACCATTAGATGAAGACGACGAGTTCTCAGCTGGGAACATGTGGAGGAAAAAATTGGGAGGAATTAAACCAGGCGAATCAGGCTCCTCAGGCTGTTGACTAGGTTCTGTTAGAAGACCAAATAAATGAGGATTCTTGGGATCAACCGACCTCCGACAACTGGTATAGGTATCAAGCCAATAATGACACGACGCACATCATCTAAGAAGTCATGAGCTTCTCTATGAGCAAACCTCAAAATGCATATCCATCTCGAGAAAGAAAGAAAGCTAATTCAAACCTGTCTTTAAAGAGCTCTTTGTCTTTTTCGTAGAGAAACAGATTGGGATGGAGCCTAACTCCGTTACAAAGCGGCAAAACTACAGACTGCAGGATTTTGTACTTATCTCTTTGAAGAACATATCTTAAAAGCTTATGAGTTTATTAAAACTATAGATATCCAACTTGAGAAAGTGAAGAAGACTATTAGGATATATCCCATACAAGGCGTGGAAAAATTCGCGAATGGCAAATCCTAGATGAAAAACATTTACACGCTCGACGTCATTCAAGGGAATTTTCCCTTTCTCAACTTCTTTAATCTGAAGAAGATTGCATATGTTAAAGTTTCGAAACAGAACAGACCTTTCGTCTGAATAGATCACTACAAGCAGCAAAAGTAATGAACATGCATTGTAAGTTTGCCGAATTGATATTCGGACAATGAGGAATAAGCAGAGCCATAAACAAAAGTCCTGCGATACAATCAGCTACTTGTTCTCCAGATTTCTAATAGTAAAAGTTTTGATTCGTTTTTATCCAGAATATATACCCTAATCATATCTAGAAGTTTACTGAAAATCGTATGATTCGCAATTTTTGGAACCCAGCTTGGTGATTGCTGTATTACTTGACCTCAACATAACACAATTAGATTGACTTTTTCCATGTTTCAAAGAACCTAGTAAAATTAAAGTTTCTTGACTTTTTTTGGATGCGATGGCATTTACGAGTGAATCCAACAATATCTAAAAGCTGGATAATGTGGTCCGGTAAGAGAATCTTTCGTACCTTATCATGAGGCTCCTTCACTTTACATAAAATTTCCAAAACTCTCTCGGAACGATGATCTACATAATAAGATACTAACTGGGGAACGCATTCACCTGAACAAGATATGCTTGACTCGTTTTGATTAGTAGAAGGCTCTTACCAACATTAATGAGATAAATCAAAGAATCACGAGAATCATTCGACACTTTTATGTCTTGTGACTCAAGCAAACGAATTTGCTTCTCAATATCCGTCATTCTCACATCATATTCACATTAAGAAAGTCTGACAAAGATCCCGAAAAGGAGAAAATACTCAAATCTAAGGTGATGTCCTGAAAGTCATTGGCTTCAGTAGGTTACTGTTTGGTTTTTTTTTAAGAAAACATAACTTTTCCTTCATAATTTAGGAATTAAATCTTCTTTACTCAACATCATACGAAAATTAACATATAGTAAGAAAATTATAAGCCTTGAAATCGCTGTTCGATGTTGTAGCCATTCACACTAGAGCAGAAAATTAGAATAGGGCGCGTTCTTCAAATCGGTTCGACTTCTTCTGTTAGACGCCACGCAGCTCTACCCTTTTGCCTTTATTGTTCTAATGAGCTCGTTATCTTTACGGTTATATTATTCTAATTTTGATTGTATCAAGCTATATTTACCAATGATATTTTACAAATCTTGTATTTTCTCTCGTAATCTGATTTGTTCCTGTGACGGTTACGTGGCTCTATTGCATTTGCATATTGTTCACCGTCAATAGTCAATGCGATAAGATGATTTTAAACTTTCATTTATTGTTCTGCGCTACACTGTTGCGGTTGCATTCATTGTTTTTCATCGATTTAATTTTTAGTGGGAAGTGTCTGGCACTAAGATTTCAAACCATTCATTGTTTCATCATTACAAGAGAATCTATTGTTTTTTTGGAGCATTACGTTCTACGAATTTCTTATCATGCTTCTCTCCTGGGAACAAGACCTAAAGTTATGATATATGTTCTCAATGTTCGTTGTCAGCGAATAACCTGCAAGTTCATGGTTCCGATGTCAAAAGTTTTCTTGGCTTTCTGTCCCAAAGTAACATAATCGTAGGGAACATTATAATCAAACTTGCGATACCCGTTCTATAATTATAAAATGTGCTTTTAGTATTGCTTATTATTCTCACCTTTGTAACTTTAGCAGCATCTTCATCACAGCTGTGATAAAAGCTAACTGTTGGTGTGATATCAGTTTCGTTCAAGGGAAATCCATTCGTGTTTCCTTCTACTTCAAACATACCAGATGGTCCGGTCAAGGACTCATCAAGAATTTGATTCAGATCTACAGTGCATTATTGAATTGAACACTAAGATATTAGGCCTACCATCTGATTTCGTTTGTTTCACTCGGAATAAGCGAACTTTCACATTTGCAGCAGGCTTACCTCCACATACGAGAGTTCCCTGGAAATGCAAATATTTGATTTTGACGCAAAACTTTCCTACCTTAACCGCAACAACTCGTTTTGCGACGGTGTTGGCGAGTGCTATGGTGCACAAAGCAAGAAGTAAAAGGAAGAGTTTCATCCCGAAGGTGAATCTTAATTAGATAAGTTCATATGTTCTTGAGAAAAAAAATTGGAAAAGGAAGGATACTGTGTAGAGAAGGAACAAGCAAAAAATAAATGTAAGAAAGAATAAGTACAGACAAGAAAAGGGAAAATAAATTAAATAAGAGAAAGGTCATCAATTGTAATGATACAAATAATGCATCACGTAACAAATAACTGCCTTAGAATATTTTTTCTTGCATAAATAGGTGTTTATAATAAAGAACTTGAATATCTCGTAATAATAGGTAACCGAACTCCGAGCGTTAGAACGTTAACTATTGCTTTCAATTCTTGTCCTACTGATTGAGAGAACAGAGGATCGAAGCAGCAATCAATGCATTTCTTGCCAAGGCCCGGACAACATTTTATTCTGTTATTTTAAATGATAACAGCAGTTGAGAGATATTGGAGCTCTAGATGTGATGTTAAAAATCACAATTGAAGTATTGAATGTTAGATCTTTGGAAGTTGCTGAATTGGCAAGAGTGTGCAGTCATGTCCGAGTGGTTAAGGAGATTGACTAGAAATCAATTGGGCTCTGCCCGCGTAGGTTCGAATCCTGCTGACTGCGAACTTTTAATATAATTTCTACTATGAATCAACCATCTCTACTAATTAGTACCTTCTCCACTGATTTCGTTTCAAGTTCGAAGGAAGTGGAATTTCAAGAATTCCTTACCAGTTAGTTCCCTTTTTGTATTGTACTTTTCGCATTGGAATTGATATATGCTTTTGTTGAGATAGGTTTTTGTGAAGATATTGTATTGTGTCTATTTCAACTTTTTTTCCTCAGTAGCAAGTTAGATACATCAATGCTTGGTAAGGTATAAATCTTCATTATTATAGGAATTTAATCTCAAGATGAATCGAACAGACGGATAAAATCAGTAAAAGGAAAGAAACAATTCATTCCGATCTCAACCATTGAAAGAAAATTTTAGAAACAACTTTTGGCTCCTGCAAAAAATCCCCGATGTAGTGAGAATGCAACCGCTGTGCGCGTGAACAACAAGATAAATAACTTCTCTAATTAGAATACGCGCTCTGCAACAAATTATCGATTAGTAAGTGATAGCAGAACAGTAAGCGCATTTCGGACTTCGCAGAATTCTTTTAATCTTTTCCTTTTTGTTATAAATCTTTTCTTGAGTAACGATTAGTGAAGGTTTTTTTTTTCGAGAAAGGTTTATAGTGTATTGCCTGAGAATTGAAGAGTACCGGATCAAAAACCGGTTAAAAAGCCATCAGTTTAGTATAGGTCGCTATTTCCTTCACCTTTTAGTATTTTTTTCCACAAAATCATCATGTATTCTGTGAACTATGATAACATTGAATTTCAAATTGTAAGTCTTGAATTTTAATAAAGGATTCTATATGTTTCATAGGGAAACTGAAAAAGTAGGTGATTTTTGGGTTGGGCTTCGAACAACACTTTCATCATTTGAAATTCGCGCTCAAAGTTTCCAACAGCTTCCATTGACTCAAAGGAATTCTTCTTGATGAATATTTCGTGTGACTGTTTTGGTCTTTGAAAACACCTCCTCAAACTTCATCATTATTCATTATTGTTTAAATCATTCAATTTTGGTGATAACTTTCTCTTCACTTTGCACTCATCGTTTTTCTTATTCGCAGCTTATTCATTTGCATATTGAGTCGAAAAGTTTTCTTTTTGGAAACGAAATCTTCATAAAACCATCCTGTTCTCTGGCTGTTTGAATATTTTTTCCTACCGAAAGATTTTAATACAGGGAGAACTATACAATAGTATTCACAAGGGAGTACTATTGAGATAGCTTCTGTATAGCCTTCACAACATGACACACTGACATTTTTTGATGAATTCCTTCCTCAATTCATTTCGGAACAATTCTTATCATAATTTACTTTGTGTCTCCACACATCTTGCTCATCCATCTTTAGAATTTCATTCGAATGCACTTCTTTCTGTCTATTATTCGCGCCGTCTCCCGGACAGTTAGTGAAATATGGCGCTTATTCTAGCAGCTTCTAACTTCCTTCTAATAGATTCAAAAAGCGATAATAGGCGGAAACATGAAATCTCCTTTAAGATAAATTTTGGATCAATTCTGCCGTCTGAATCATTGGACGATAATTCTCCCCTAAGGCAGGTCTAACTCGTTTTGGACTGACTCAACTTGGTTCTCCTGCTGTTAGCAATGCGTAGAAGTTCACCTCAAAAGAAAGAAATAGATAATTGAAACATAATACAGTGTAAGAAAAAGAAAGAGTGGACTAGATCTCTTTTGACGTGACTGATGACGTAGATTCTCTTGTACCCAGAATATATATGAATCATCCTTAATTTCATTGCTTATTTAAGCAATGAGTCTTTGTTTTTAGTTTGAATGTTTTCTATCGTTCTTCCTTTGTCATCTTATTTCAACAAATTAAATATCAATATAAATGTCTTTTCCTTTTAATAAGATGAATTAAGTGAAATTCATGCAAATTCTAGAGACACTCGTGTTCATTTGTCTTCTATATTCATAATCTGTTTTTTTCTGGCAAAATCGGACTGATTTCTGAAACAGTGGTTTGTTCACTGTCTACCTTTCACTACTTTTTTCCGACCTTTTTTCATTCAAAGTATCTAGATGTTCGGAATTGAATTCACATATCAATCTTTCAAGTTGTTTCTATGCGCACCTTGCCCACCCAACCCGTGCTTCAACGATCGGAGATGGGCTGATGTTTCGCGAACCTTTTATGGGTAAAGGCAACTTTTCGTTTCGTTTAGAACGTTTTCTTCTTATTTTCTCCCTACAGATTCTCTTCGTTTCATTTCTAACATCCGGCTAACTTGATATGATATAAACAGAGAAGACATTTCTCTTGACCGGCAGAGCAAGTCACATTAGATTCAATAAGATGTCAACTTGTTCAGACAGTTATTTTGCTATCAATGACCTATTTGATGTTCAAATTCTTAATACATTCCGAACTCAATTTTCCTTCCATGTTTCATATGTATTTCTACAATAGTTCATTCTCAATCTAATTCGTTTACTTCTTAAGTTCATTTTTGAGAACTAATATATATACTTATACAGTTATATAGTTCAGATTCAGAAGCAGAATGACAATAAAGTATCTCTGGGTATTTCCGACCTTAACTTTCGTATTCAGCACGCTGGCTTTCATAATTTCGTAAGTTACAAGGTGTTATTCATCTCATTTCGTTAACAGGACATGTTTGGCTCACAACAATGACCACGTCGGAGACATTCCTTTTATAAGTGACACAGGAGCCCAGCCGCCTGAAAGTTGCTATTTTGGACTCTTCCTTATACTATCCGCTATCTGCAGTTCAGTTTGAGTAGAGTATTCTAGTCTCATTAACACTTTGTAGTGGGAATTTCAATGTACCTCAGGCATAGAGAGATAATGGATTATAATTTCCATGAGAGTGGTGAGCATCCTTGGTGGAACATATCTTCGAGGATATTTTTGTTCATGGGCTACATTTCCGTATTCGGACTCATTCTTGTTGCTACCTTCCAGGTTCGTTGAAACCCTCATTGAGCACTAAAAAATTTTTTTAGGAAACCATTGTAATTTTTGTACATTACTTCGGAGCGTTCCTCGTCTTCACATGTGGCGTGATTTATCTATTTTCGCAAACTATTTTCAGGTAAGTGACCATCGCTTTTGGTCCTGATAACTTTGTATTTTAGCTATTACATGCATCTAGTAACTAATCGTTATATTTTCGTTGCTCGGACAGTTATAACACTGATGATAGTATTACTGTATCCCATAGGTCAGAATATACAATACCTCGTTTAGTTATAGTTTCCTCCTATAGGCATTTATTGTGTGGTTGTTGCTCGCCCACCCGAAGGTGTTCATGGCGTTCATAAATGGACTTCGACAGAAAAGGTTTCTTATCTGCTCAAATCTTTCGTCACATTCTTTTACGTCAGAACTATGAAGTCCGAAAACTTGCTGCAATATGTGAATGGCTGATGGCGATATCATTTCAAATTTACATTTTGACTCTAGGAATAGAACTTAAAAGCCTTGAATGCCATTGTCCCAAACTAAAAAACCAGAACAGGAGTATTTCAAGTGTTTCAACGTTCTCAGAAAGTATGAATAGCCAAGCTCTCGAGTCTCGAATCGTATAAAAATACTAATGGAGAAATTGAACACTCGAGAGAAGTGTCTGAATGATTTCCTGATTTGTCCAGCAGCTGCTCAACTGAGAATGAATCTCAACATATTGTAACTTCGAGTGCTAAATTCAATGCCCACAAGTTCAATTGTTCATATTTTTCTAATTTCAATTTCAACTGTAGCATAATTTTATTTAATTGTTTACTTTGAAGTGCTCAAATGTTTTTTTCTATTCCGTGTCTCGTACAGAACATTAAATCGGAACAAACAAACAAATTGTTGGTGAACTTACGTCATTACAGTGTACTGTGCGTGGCCTTGTGGCCTAATGGATAAGGCGTCGGACTTCGGATCCGAAGATTGCAGGTTCGAGTCCTGCCAGGGTCGATAAGTTTTGTTCAACGTTCGGAACATGCACAATTTAAGTGGTAGATTCAAGGAAAACTCTTTGTCTAAATCGCTAATGCTAATTATGAAAAGACGTTTGGTTGACTTCATGATAATTCATTCCTCTGACCTATAGGCTGTTGGCCTATTCTCTAATAAAAATAGTGTGGTGTGAGAAAAACCTTGAGTGGCAGAACTTTTCTGAGAATGTCTAGTTCTTCTGTTCCTGTGGCAACGACAACAAATCCACTATTTTACCGGAAGTGGCAACGTCTTTAGAGCGTTGTGGTCATAATATTAAAAAAAAATTAGTATGCTTGCAGTAATCGTCGTTGTTCTACACGTTTACTGCTGTCTCAGTTCACAACTTAACTTTCCTGAAGAAAACATCGACTTACCCGTACACATAGTGCGCGGTCTGCCGATGAAGCACAGCTGCTCAGTGTGCAGTAAAGCCTCGAATGAAATTCTCAAGCTTAGTAAGTTCTCCAGTGAACGGTGTAGTTGGTTTTCAACTGTTAGATGTCATTTTCTGCGTTCAGAGGTGTTCGATATGAATTCTTTTTTCTAAGAACAATTTTCAGAGTCTGCCAAACCCGCAAATGAAGATGTGTGAGTAAAGCGAAGTCTTCTCTGCACTATCACTCTCTCATCTTCACAATGCGCCGAAGTAACAATAGCAACATAACAAGCATGAAAATAAGAACAGAAACTAGGATAAACAAAAAACTTTGGAAACGTATCATGGTGTTAAAATGAAGATTCACGCAGCTACAGTAACCACGGGACAAACAAATGACAGAAAATGATCAAGATGATTATGAAAATATACTCAGGTCAAAAAAACTGTGGTTCCATGGGATAGAACAAATAAGAGGAGAAGAAACCCACAGAATACATTTTGATCTATTCCATCAAACTTCAAAGTTCATGAAAGAGACTCAACCATTCAATGAACACAAGAGATTTATAAATCACGATGCTTTTTCTGATCGTTGATTTGCGTGAAATAACAGTTTGTGATAATCCATCAATGAAGTGTCGCTCGCTTAAAAACTTTCATCCGCAAAGCTGTTCACTGTTCTACGAGTTTGCTTATTTTCTTGATTTTGGCTTTTTTCCCGTCATTTCTAATATAGTGAGCGAAAATTGATACTCTGACGATTCTTGTGGAGGTTGAAGGAAAACCTTTCTGCAACACCCTGTGCTTGTGTTTTATAATCAATTTGCATTGAAGACTTACAGAGAGGAATTCAGAGTTTTCGTAAATAAACAATACTATGCGAATATCTCAGTTGACACATCAAGCATACTATTATGAAAAAAAAGAGATGCGTATCACAATACTTTTTCCAAACGAAGTAAATATGAAGCCGTGCAAACACAGTAGCATTTTCATAATAGTAGCACACATTTCATGTCTGTTAACAGTTCATATGAATATCTTCCTATTGAGACTTTCGCAGATTTCACTTTTGACTGAGCGACAATCTAACTAATGGTCATGAATCCGAGATGTTATACGAAGAGCATAATCCTAGAATAGGAGTGGGAGTGTTGGAAGAACATTATCAGTTTGAAATATGATTTTAAAAGAATTTTTATTCGCATTAGCAATATTAAGATGATATGACTTCTTTCAAAGAATTTTCAAACAATGATAATCTTAGAATTGTCAAGGTACACCCGTTATAAACCGTTATATTAGAAAAAAAACAATGATGATCAAAATATAAATATATTAAAATGGAGAAAATGTTATCAGAAAGAACTATTCCGCACAAGAGTACTAACAGGAGCTGATGGGAATTCCACCGATTGTCTGACAATCATGAAGCAGCCCGCAGTGCTTTTACGTCGAACTGCGTCCAAAAACACTTCCGAATTGTCAGGTGATGTTACTGAACACGCTGTACCACTTGATGAATTATCAGAAGAGATTAAATGTTGTTGATCATCTTGCTTCTGAACCCGTTGAACTAGAACCCGCATGACAGAAGCTTTACGAGATTCGCGACGTTGGCTCGTTGATTCACTTCTAGAATCTCTTGAAATGGCATCTACAACAACGAACGCTGCTGGCTCAGCGGAGCGTTTAGTAAGCGTTTTGAGCATCTGAAATAATAGTTTTCAAGAATAAAAACATAAATTAAATAAGTGATTTTGTAACAAAAATTTTTTTGATTTTTCTCAAAATCTTTTTCAAGTTTTCCAAGCTTTTGGCAAAATAAAAGAAGCCAACAGACGAGAATCACAAAGCAGACTCAAAATACGGAATCATGCACGTGCAATTTATGGTCGAGTTTTCCATATTTATTCGAGTGAAATCAATACATGAACTGGAAGTATGAATTATTCTAATGGAATTTCAAAAATCCTTTTATGACTCAAAACAAAACGAGAACCTGTTAGTTGAACGAAAACTCAGTATTACAACATAGCCAAACCGAGTAAAACTAACACGACGTATAAGAAGTCTATTTCTTTTCTCTTTTCATTATTCTTTCTTTGATAACAAAAACCATGCCTGTACGATTATTGTTTCTGAACTAAACAACAATTTTACAAGGTAGAGGAGTTATAGCTCGATAGGGAAACACTCACGAAAACAAGAAAATAAAGTCGTTTGAAGCTTAATTTCAGCTGTTTTTTTTTCATGAAAATTGTTGGATGAATACTCCAAAACAGTTATTTTTCAATATTTGTTTGTAATTATTGTAAAAGTCTAAAACGGTGCAGGAGTGAGAGTGCTATGTAGTGCTGGGGGGTAGGAGAATAGACAGAAGTTCATAGAAGTTAGCACAAGAAGAGAAGAGAAATCGTAGAGAAAGACCGAAAACTTGCACGTGCCATAGATACCGTATACCTGCTGCTCATTGCCTCTGACTGTCGTCGTTCCATACTTCGTTTGAGGAACCCTCGTGTTCTCTGTCAGGAGACGTGAAGAAGTAGTCTTCTCCAAATTCCACTTCCGTCTTAGCCAACATGGCATCAGATCGACAAAAGCAGCTCGCAGTTGTAAATTGAGCATAGCATAAAGCAATGGATTCCAAACCTAAAAGAAACAGTCTCAGGTTATTCTTCCTTGAAAACAAAATGAAGATGGCTTACTGTAGACGTCATAGCAACACAGTGAGTTCCGATACCAAATAAATATTCCTGTTCTTTAATCCATTCCGGTAAAAAATCATAGTCCCGCAATACATTGAAGGAGACTGACCAGATCCAGCTAAACATATTTCCTTTTTAATGCCTTCCTCTTCCATTCTCACCTCAGTGAAAATGCAACAACCATAGCAATGAGCATTCGATTAGTTCGTTGTTTTCGCTTCACAGCCATTCGTTGTTGATCTGTTAATTGAACCTAAATTTATTATTATTTTATTTCGAAAAAAACTTGTATGCTAATTTATGCTAATTGTAACTAATATTTACGACAAAACTTGGAATAACTTACTTCCCAATTATCACTCGATTGTTGTTTGGCTCCTTTGAGAATCATACTCTGAAAAGCTTTGTGTGAAAGATAAAAATATTTTGTATTACCTGTCCTATACGAATAGAAATAGCCGTATAAGAGAGAATGATTATGAAGAGCGGAACTATAAGCTGCACACCAAGTAGAGCAGCTCCATAAATTCGTCTTTGACTCTCATTTCCACTCCAATCCTCTAAATTTGCATAATTCATTTACGTCATGTTTTTATTTTTAAAAATGAAAGTTCACGTGACTTTCTTCCTTTCATTTCAATTTGCACAAAGTTAGTGAGCGGTTGCTTCCAGGAAAATTAAATTATTCAACACTCACCGGTACAATACTTTCCACAGAAGTTTGCGAATTCATCAAGTGTTTGTTTGAAAATAATTGGAGAAGATATACAAGCCGCCAAAGTACATATAAACTAAAAATAAATATAAAGAAATTAGCATAAACTCCATCATACAGCTATCACTCCGCAGGCTTGAAGATGGCTCAGCGGTTTTTTCATTGGAAATCGTATAAGCATATATCTATCAATCGAAATTGCTGTTAAAGTGAAAGTTGAAAAGCACAAGCTAATTCCCTACAAATAAAAATGTAAATTAAACTAAAGACTTTGCCATTCTTACAGCTATAAAAGGAGCGATTCGACACAATGCTTCCCCAAAAATCCATTCTTTGCGAAACGCTGTTATGGGTGTTATGGTAGCTGAGATACAACATACGACGATATCCGAACATGATAATGATATGATGAAGAGATTCGGAACAGTTTGAAGAGTTCTGCAAAGAAACATTCTGAATGTACATACAACATGCATGCTTGTTTACTTATTTCTAGTTATGGCTAATATTACACATGTATTACCAACACATCCACATATGATTATAATGGCATAAAGTATGGAGAAGATAACCATTGTTGGCGTCTGCAAATACGTTTTTTCTATAAATTTTTAACTTTTCATCCAAATACCCGAGTCGTCAAATCACCACGAAATTCCCATAATTCTTCATTGAGGTTCAAACACTCGGAATCGTTTGACATCCTGAACGAAGCTTTTTTGTATTTAATATTATATTTTTACATCTTTTATTCCATTTTTGGTTTTTGTGAAGAAAAAAACAAAAATTGACAAACACATTCAATGAACAGTGTTTTTCGTAGAGAGAAATAAGAAAGAAAAAGCTTTTCTTCGTCGGGTGGGAAGAGAGAAATTCTTAATTTTTCCTTTGTTTTCCTTTAAATTAGCAAAAAAATATGAAAAATCTTTTGTTTGAACTAGTTCGAAACGAGTTACTTTCTATTTTCATGAAAAGCAAAATAAGTTCATAAGGTTGGCTGAACTGAAATTTTGCTTCAACACATACTGAAAGAGGGAAAGGAGAGAGGGGGGCGTGAATGTTTCTTATTTAATACGAGAAGAGAACAATTTTTTTTAAAAAAAATAATAAATCGCATTGGAAGATTGAAGCCATTGGATTATCCATGTTAGAAGAGAAATGACAAAAGAATTGAAAGAAATAGGAGTAGAGATTTAGAGGAGGAGAAAGCTTACAGAGGCGACAGAGAGGGAGAAGAAGAGAGACCTCTCTATTGAATTGAAGGATAAAAACGAGGAGGAGGGGGAGGAAGCAACCGTTCTGCAGAGGAAACTTTCGTGAATTAGAAGAACAACCAAATTATTCACGTATTTCCTCACGTACATGTTCACGTCAGTCTCTCTAATTAGCATATAATGTCATATAAACATCGATAAGCTTATCGATGGATGAAGATTATAAAATCATTAAAAGAAATGACAAGAAATATCTCGTGCTCCTCCTTCTATTAGCTACAATGAAGAGATGGATAAGCAATTGGAACTAACAACAATGGAAGAGAGACAGAGAGATAGCAATTCAAGTTAATTTCAGACATTTATTCATCGTTTTCATTTGATTTCTAATTGGCCAATCGTTCTTTCAGATTTCTTTTTTCATCTTAAAAAAAGACACTGAGAAGGATAGATGGAAAGGAGAAAGAAGTTGGTGTTATTGACATAAGTAGCTGAACAATTTCTCGCTTGAATGAGAAAACCAGCCAATGTTAAAGGTTACAAGTCCATCAAAGAAACAAAAAATACTGCTGAGGCAATGAAAGTGAGCAAGTAAATAAATGTTTCTTTTGCATATTTTGTTACAAAAAAAGATATCTAATTAGAGCAGCCATAGGAGGAGTCTCTTTGACAGAACATAACGAAACAGGAAATACGAAAAGAAGTTTGTCATTTACTATGCGAATATAGTTAAAATGATAAACGGTTTACCAGCTTATAAGTTAGCTTTTGGCCAAAATGGCAAGATTTCAATGAAAATAATAGAATCAACTCGATTGAATTATCGAAATCTTCATACACATAGGATTGAAGAGAAGAAAAAAAAGAAAAATTTAATTGAGGGAATCAAATGAATTAAGACGTTTTTCATTAGAATTTGATCCTTTGTGACTGAACATTGTCCCTCTATGACAATTACAATAGAAAATCAACAAAAGATGACAAGCAATGATCTGTTTTCTGAGAATGAAAAAAAAAATTAAATCATGCTTTTTGCAGTTAATTATGTGTATGTTGTAGATATAATTCATTTTTATTTAAAATAAAGTTTTATGACAAAAGCTAAACAAAGACAAATTTGTTTGAAAATCAACCATTCATCAACGTTTAAACAAATGAAAAGTGTTTAGCTTACACGTATGTACAGCTTCTCACGTCAGTTTTACGTGGAAAATGCAAATTCGGGTGAATATCGATTGCTGTCTTGAGACTTATGAAATAATTTGACGCGAAACTATAAATTAACAACCAGGGGACATGTAGTTAAAATAGAAATTATAGTATTTTTCATTAATCAATGAATAATTTAAACATTTCGTCTACTCACAGCTGCTTTTCCGATGATATTTCGAATTTGCATAAGTTAACTTTCTTTTATTTTTATTTGTGAGAGTGGGTGAGAGAGTTCAACAATTATTTTATTTATCTTTCATACCCAAAAAACTTATGAGTATAAACTTGAAATAGGAGAAGCTTGGCGCTATAGTCAAACGAGCAGTGAGTGCACAAGAATTTTTTTTGTCAAACTAGACTGTCCTTAATTTAATTCACTTAGTGAAGTCCAAGAACAAAGAATTCAATGAAAAGCTAGTCTGACGACGACATTCAGCTTCTCCTTCTTCTGATGATATATCCAGAAGTGTGTTCATTAAAATTCTATAACATATCTTTTCTAACTTGGACTGGAAGTTGATGAATTTATGGACTTTCGTGCTAATAGCTGAACAATGAACTAGGGAGAGAAGCAAGTGAAAGTAAGATTTTGATAGAAAATTACGTTCAGAGCAATGAACTCAAGCTAGTTAATGAGTTGAATGTGAATGGATAGGAAAAGAATGTGATGTCAGGGCTTGTTGAAAGATAAGAGGGACTGAAAGGGAGAGAGTGCAAAAATAGAGACAGAAATAGAGATAAAAGAGAGAGACGAATAAAGAGAGAGAGAGAAAGATGGAGAGAAAAAGAAAATGGGATAATCAACCGTTCCACACGTCTGCCTCACATGAAATGGAAATTTTTGCTCATAGAGAAGTTCCACGTGAAAATCAGAATGTTTACGTGAAAGTTTTCCATTTGCAAATGAAAAGAAAAAAATGAAAAATATGTTTATGGAAGAAAATAAAATTAAAAGTAATATTCGTTTGAATTGAGGTCAGAGCGGCCCTTTTCATAAGACAAAAGCTATAAAAGCATGTAAATGAAGGAGTCAAATGGCTTCTATTTACTCAGGCTCATGTCCAAATGAGGAGGTGGACGATCATAGCTCTAAAGGCTGTTAGACAAGTTTTGGTGCTACTGCTGTTTCTGGTGGAGCCGTATTTGGAAAACGGATAGACACCGAGGAAAAGGAAGCTACGAAGAAGCTGCCAAAGTTTTTCTCATGACTCTCTTTCTCTGAATTTAACAAGATAGAAATGGAAGGATTTCCTTAGGTGACGTGACATTAAAAGATAGGAAAAAAAGTGTCTGAAGATGACGGCTAAGTAATAAGCAAGCAAGTCATTCAACCAAATTACAATTTCATTAAGATATGTGACGTATGACTGATTATATTCTTGAATATTTAAATTATTTTTTTAATAAACAAGCTGTAAGCTGTAAGAGAGCTACTGAAAATAATGAAATTAACAGATAACACTGAAAAGTCTCGTGGTTACAAGCATACTGTTGTCTCACTTCAATGAGCACAAGCTTCGAGCGCACCAGCTTAAACCTAATTAATCTCTAGTTGGTACCGACAAGTTTTTTGGTTTCTGTTTCTTAAGAAGAGATAGAGAGAGAACAGTTGAAAGAAAGAGAGAAAGAGGGAGGCGGGAGGAGAAAAAGAGAAAAGCGTTTTAAGGATCTAAACGTTCATTAAGAATTTATAAGGTTCGAAACAACAAATTTGCTCCAGTTGAAGGTAGGCGGTAGCGTATTCGAAATTCATATTTTATTTAATTATCATATAATTAGTGGGATGACGTCATGACCTCGTTAACTATGTATCTGCATTTTGAACAAAAAAAATTTGTGTTTTAGGAACGGGTTTTTTCAGCTTACAAAATCTCATGAGGAATAAGCGTACTGAAGTTTTTTTTTACGAACGAACTTCTCCTTACAAAGGACAAGCTAGAAAAAGCTTTTCCTAATGCTTATAAAAGACTGATGAAGCAGAAGCAGAAGAAGCACAAGATGAAGAAGATGAAGAAAAGAGTAATTCCTCTCCAATTACTTGCTGGTATTCAGAATTGCCTCAGGGCACAAGATAACTATTTCATAAAACTAATTTTCAAATTATTTCTATCTCAATTATGATATTTGAGAGAAAAAGTGAAACAAACAGGCACACACACACAAGTGGCCAACGAAGTTCACTGGTCTATGGGTTGAAAGAAGAACAACAAGATTCTAAAGGAAACAATTGATTCTAAATTTGGCTCATGTGATTAAGAAGGCTCATTTACTAACAACAAACTGCTTTCATTATCGTTTTCCTCATCTTTCAAGTACATTCGACTACACGAAGCAGCACCTTTCGCGGAAAACAGGTATAAGGAGGGATTGAGGGGGGGGGGGGAGGAAATGAACAATTCCTATTCCAAATAAAAAAAAATTGTTTTTAAGATTTCTTAGTTTAATTGTCGCTTTATTCACGTCCTCTGATTGCTTTTCTTCAAACATTTATGAAAAATCATTCTCTTCTAACCAAATAAAATATACATAAATGCACTTTTCGTTGAGAAAAACACTTTTTGCTCAAAAAATTGAGACAATTTCTGTTTTTTTTTTTGCTTTAAATTATTCGAACAATAAATAAGATCTTTGGATTGATCTGCAAGCTTCAGATAGTTTGATTAGAAAAAGTTTTTTTGTGTGGAAAAACAGAGTTTCGAATGACTCCGTTCAGGTCATTTGGTTTGTACATGAAGTAGAATATTCGTTTGGGAGGAGAATCAGAAGATCTGGCGGTTGATGGCAGATAATTAGCCAAATGAAAGAGACGTGAATAGAAGATTCTATTTTGAATACGAGAGGGAACAAAAGTAAATGACAATCAGCTTGTTTTTCTTCATTTTTCCCTTAAAACATATAAATAATTTCTATAGATAGCAAGATGGATGGATGCATGAAGAACAACATAATAAGAGAAAAAATTCCTTTTTTTCATGTCCTTTTAATGCTGAAATTGGCTTTGAAATGAAGAAAAGAAACTTTCAGAACGTCATCGTTCATGCAAATTTTTTGATTTCCATATTTGCAGGTTACTGGAAGGAAATCAAAAATCAAAGAGAGCTTTTGATGGAAATGGTGGTTGGACTGGAGGGTGCAACTGCATTGTTTAATTCTCCGTTTATCATACGAAATAACATAAAACAGTAAAGAAGCCGATTATGGTAAGAATTGGAATGCGTTTGGTCCTCGTGTACCAAGAAGAGATAGACGAATCGAGAGAAAAGGTAAGAGAGAGAGG